GTAAATCAAATAGTACCATGCATAATATAATGCTCACAAAATTTAATTAAATCAATCTCTGAAAAAGGCCCCCCAAGAAAACTCCTACCTTATTTCCAAAGCTGACTCCAAGTTAAGAAAAACACAAGCTCCGACCTCTAACTCCTCCAAGAATATTATTACCACCCTCTCTCTCTCTCTCTCTTTCTTTTCTCTCTACCAATATGGTCTTCTCGTTTCTTAAGCAAGCTATGCATGCCCTTCTCAAGATGTGTAAACCATTTGTACATGCAACTCTCTATTTATACTAGAAATAAGGCGGCAACTATTAGTCTATCATTGGTTGATATGTTTGGAGGTTGGAGATAAGTGCTAACATTTGGTTTTGAGATGATATTTTGATGAAGTAAAGCCAGCTAGCACTTGGATAGCAATGCAACAATCTTATATGTTTACACGTCCCTTAAGCAACTAAGAAATGGTGCCACCTCCAGCTTAAGTTATCCACCTCATGCTTCCTATATAATTAATATAATAAAATATATACTATAACAAGCTATGCATGCAGCAAGCTAGGACGTTTGTGTCTTCTCTACATATTTAATATAATAATATATATATAATTATTAAAATGGTCAAACGACTATATATATAATCAAAATTATTAAATTTGCATTAAGTGAAGCAAATAAAACATAGACTTCCATAAATAATTATAATTTATAATTTAATACTTACCAAAATAAAATATTAACACTTTTAAGAATAAGGATTCTCACACTAGCGGTTGATGATAAGTTGGGAGGTGCTTCTAGAATAGGTTGAAAGGGTTTAAAAGGTGGTTTGATGGAATAATATGATAGACTTGGGTTTTTATGGGCCTAAGTTTACTTGGAGAAACAATAAAGTTTTTGAGAGGCTTGATCATGCTATCTGTAACATGAAGTGGAGACACTTATTCCCTGAGGGTCATGTTAGGCATTTGCCTCGTACCACTATGATCATAATCCTATCAAGGTTTCTTTACAGTCTAATTTTTGTGCTTCTCCCCCTCTTAGGCCTTTTAGATTCGAGGTGATGTGGCTGAAGCATGAACACTTCAATGATTTAATTGCTGCTGTTTGGGGGAGTTCTTCTGGCTCTGCTGTAGATAAGACTATGAAGTTGATTGAACCTTTAAAAAATTGGAATTCTACAGTCTTTGGTCACTTAAGACAAAAGAAGGCTAGACTTTTGGCTCGTCTTGATGGGATTCAGAGGGCTTTATGTCGGGGTCCTAATCCTTTCCTTAAGCAGCTGGTGATTTCTCTTATGGATGATTTTAATGAAGTCCTAGACCATGAAGCTTTGTTTTGGAAGCAAAAATCTAGGATTAGTTGGTTGCAAGGAGGTGACAGAAACACTAAATTTTTCCACCTCACTACTGTGATTAGAAGAAGGAGGAATATAATTGAGCGGCTTAAAAATAGTGATGGCTTGCTTGTTGAAGAGGCTGCAGGCATTAAGGCTCTTGCTGTGGAGTATTTCTCAAGTCAGTTCAACCAAGTGCAGGTGGTTGTTCCTGACATGGTCCTCCCTAATTTGTTTCCTGGTATTAGCAATGATGATTTGGCTTTGTTGGGTAAGAATATGAATTGGATGAGGTTAAAGAGAGCCTTTTAATATTGGAGGTCTTAAAGCACCTGGTGTAGATGGTTTTTCAACTTGTTTTTATCAAAGTCAGTGGGATCATTGTGCTTCAGACATCTATGCTATGGTGATCAAAGCTTTTACTGAGTGCAAGGTTCCTGAGAAATTGAATTACACCCTTATTACTCTGGTGCCTAAAGTTAATAATCCTCAGACTATGGTTCAGTTCAGGCCCATTAGTCTTTGTTCAACTCTTTATAAAGTCATCTCCAAAATTATTGTTGGAAGGTTGAGACCTATCTTGCCTTGCCTCATTAGCCCCAACTAGGTTAGTTTTGTCCTTGGTAGGCATATAACAGATGATATTCTGATTGCTCAGGAGCTTATGCATAAATTCAAGCTTTCTAAAGGAAGGAAGGGATTGTGGCTTGGAAGATTGATCTCTCTAAAGCTTATGACAGACTTAATTGGAATTTTGTTGAGTGTGTTTTACTGGAATGGGGCTTCCTACAGCTGTTATTCAACTGATTATGCATTGTGTCTCCATGGTGAGGTACCAGATTTGCGTTAATGGTGAGCTAACTGATTCTTTTGTGCCTAAGAATGGTATTAGACAAGGTGATCCTCTCTCACCTTACTTCTTTGTCTTGTGTGTGGAAAAATTATCTCGCCTTATTTTTGACTCTGTTCACAAAGGGATTTGGAAACCTGTTAAATCCTCCCAGAGTGGTCCAACTGTTTCCCATCTGTTTTTTACAGATGATCTTATCCTTTTTGCTGAAGCCAGCTCTAAGCAAGCGCATGTGATGAAGAATTGTTTAGAGATATTCTGTCAGGCTTCTGGGCAAGTTATAACTATGATAAGTCTGCTATTTTCTGCTCTCCTAATACCCCTAAGGCAATTGCTAAGGAGATTGGCTTTATATGTGGTTCTCCTATTGTTGCAAGTCTTGGGAATTATCTTGGTATGCCTCTTTTACACTCAAGACCAACTTATACTACTTATAATGGGTTGATTGATCGAGTGACCAATCGTTTGGCTTCTTGGAAAAGTAAGCTGTTATCTATTGCTGGTAGGGCTACTCTTGTTCAAGCTGTGACCTCATCCATTCACATTTAGGCGATGCAAACAGTTAAACTTCCTGCTAGTGTCTGTGAGCATCTAGATCGGTTGAATCGTAATTTTTTTTGGGGAGGCAAGGAGGAGAAAAATAAGGTCCATCTTTGCCAATGGGATTTGGTTTGTAGGCTAAATGTAAAGGGGGAATGGGGTTCAAAAAACTGCTGCAATGAACCAAGCGTTGTTATCTAAATTGGGTGGAGGGTGCAGAATAAAGAAATGGTTTATGGGCTAAGATTTTTTTTGGGGGAGGCAAGGAGGAGAAAAATAAGGTCCATCTTTGCCAATGGATTTGGTTTGTAGGCCTAAATGTAAAGGGGAATGGGGTTCAAAAAAACTGCTGCAATGAACCAAGCGTTGTTATCTAATATGGGTGGAGGGTGCAGAATAAAGACAATGGTTTATGGGCTAAGATTTTTGAGGCTAAATACTTGAAAGGTGCCTCTATATTGGCTTCTCCTAACTTACCAAGAAGGCTAGTTCTCACACTTGGAAAGGTGTTGTTCATGGTGTGGAGCTGCTGTTGAAAGGTATGAGGTGGAGGATTGGTTCGGGTGATCAAGTAAAATTTTGGAAGGATAGCTGGTGTAGTGACACACCCTTGCTGCATCAGGATGGTGTTTTGAATGTATGTGATGTTGATTGCGTGGTCTCAAGTTTTTTCTTCATAATTGGTGGGATATTTCCAAGTTAAGAGAAGCTATTTAAGAGGATTTAGTTCAACAAATTGTGAGTATTCCTGTGGGTGTTCATGGGTCTTTATTTGATACTCAAATTGGCATGCTTCTTCTAATGGTGTTTTCTCTGTTAAGTCTGCTTATAAGTTGTTCTTTTGCTGGTCCTTCTTGGCCTGAGTCTAGCTGGGCTTCCTTTGGAAACTGAAAATTCCTCCCAAGCTGCAAATCTTTTTTTGGCTTGCGTCCCAAAGTAAAATCTTGTCCAATGAGTATAGAGTGAGGCGTCAACTGGCTATGATTCTTCTTGTGGGTTATGTGATTGGCCTGTGGAATCTATGCTGCATATATTCCGTGACTGTGAGAGGGCTCAAAGTGTTTGGCATGCTCTTTCTATCCCTAGAATTGTTCCCATTTTTGAAGCAGGATTTCATACCTTGGCTTAAAGCTAACCTGCTTTCGAAAGCTAAATGGGGTGGTGGTCTGCCTTGGTCAGTTGTGTTTGTTTTTACTTGTTGGTACCTGTGGAAATGGAGGAATAAGCATATTTTTCTCCCTCTTGATGAGTTTGTTGCTGACCCTGTTAAGACTATCTCAATGGCTGTAAGAGATTGGGTTAAGGCTTCTCAAGTGGGTGTTAAGATGAGTCCTAAAGCTCAGCTTTTACTTAGTTGGGAGCCTCCTGGTTTTAGGTAGGTTTAAACTAAATGTGGATGGTTCTAGGAGAGCTGCCTCAGGTTGTATTGGTGCTGGTGGAGTGATCCGTGGGGCTACTGGCAATTGGATATGTGGTTTTTGCTGCGAATTTAGGCAAGGGGCAGATCCTTGAGGCTGAGCTTTGGGGCTTGTATTTTGGGCTACATTTGGCTTGTGAAAAAGGTATCTCTAATCTTCTTATTGAGATGGATGCTGCAGTTGTTGTTTCCCTTGTTCAGCAAGTTGGTACCTTGAGTTGTCATCCTCTTGCTGTGTTAATTCAGAGCTGTTGTGGTCTTATGAGGCGTATTGGCAACTGTCACCTTGCTCATGTTTATAGAGAAATGATGTTGTAGCTGATCGCATGGCTAACTGGAGCTTTAACTAGGATTTGGGGGTTAGCTATTTGGATGAGGCCCCCATCTTGGGTTAGCTCCTTTATGGAGGATGATTTTTTAGGAGTTGCTAGGCCTCGCCTGGTCTGTACTAGTTAGTTGTTGGTTCTTTTTGGGGTTTGTCCCCCCTATCATCAAATCAAAAAAAAAAAAAATGCCTCATCACTAAGTACACTAGTCAACTAAAAACTGCAAATGCCTTATCTTAATGTTACCTGAACAAAGCAATTATAAGAAAATGGAGACGAAGCAAGGCAGCAGCTTTAGCTTAATGTTACAACGCCAGAGAATTGCTAAGACAACCACCACAAGACCAGCAAGCCAACAAGAAACTCACAAAAAATATAAGATCAGCAAGAAGCAAAGCTAACAGCCTCAGAAAAGAGATGCACATGGGGCCCATCAACTTTTGGTGTTCACGTGGGCTTCCAGCCAGAAAAAGCAGATTTCGGGCCCACAAAAAATATCAGTCCAGGCAATACTTGGGGTGGAAAACGTGGAGTACACATGAGTTGTGTCCTTGGTCACGTGGCGACTCTGTCACGTGCGACATTTAGGAAGATTAGATGGTTTGGTATTTTCACATTAGAAACTTGAAACATATTTGTTTGTACCATGGAAAAGGAAAAGTAGTCTTACGATGGTAAATAGTGATTTAATTTGATAATCCGCTAACAGTTTCAGTCATTTTGTTGAGTGTTTGTCCCTAAATAGAAAGTAAAAATAAATAATAAGACCATTTTCAATAATGAATGCTCTGCAGGTGGACTGTTCTACAATTTATTTGCCGCATATGCATATGTTTTATTGACATGTGATGTGTCTTTTGGTGCTAGTTTTGCTACTGAATTATTCTCTAAATGCAGGATTCCTTGATCCAACTGGTGACAAAATCTTGCTTGGATGTTATAACCGTCCTGCTAACCTCAGTTTTGAGGTATCCTCCACAATGGGTCCAAAAATTACACATTTTGGACAGGAATTTGATTCAGTTTCTACTAAATTTGATGATGAAGCAAGTTATGCTCATATGGACAACGCCATAACTGTAATCAGCGACCAGCTGCCCGTGAAGATAAATTGGTTAGCAACAAACTTAAATTGGGTCTAAAATACCAAACCTCAGAAACAACATTCCTCATATCATCTTGTTGCAACATTAAGATTTAAAAACAATAGATTGATAAATGGTGATTATCAACTGATGCATTATATAAAATGCATCCAGACGTATATAATTATTACTGCATCTATAGCATATGTACTATGTCAGTCTTCTTAGCTCCAAAATGATTTCCCTAGCGTAGTGAACAGATGGAAACCCATAAGAAAAATGTAGGAACAGAACAGATGGAAAAAAAAACAGAGAGGGGAAGGAAAATAATGGAAGAGAGAGAGAGAGAGAGAGAGAGAACTGCGTAGTGAACACGGTGCCTTTCTCTTTACAGCCACACGTCGTCTGCAATGGGATGGGGCCGGGAATTATATGAGATTTAATTTGAGGAGAACATGATTTCTCTTCACCGTCACCCAGCTTTACCAAAGAATCGTCGTAAAAAATAATTCAAAACCAATTTCGGCATACAAAAAGACAAGCAAATGAAGAAGCACGGAAAAATACCAAAGAAAGACTTGAACACACCCACCACACACAAAGTTTGAGAAAACAAGAAGAGAAAGGACGACACTTTCCACCCAAAGGAAGGAACATACAATTTCATGAAAGTTCCCTCTCTGAAATGTGTTTTCTTTCTTTACCTTTATGGGGTTGAAATTATAAAAAAACCCAAGCACTATTTAAACATATAAACACACCCAAAACCTATCATTACACACACTCAAAACTCATTTATAAACACACTCAAAAAGTTGACTTTGGGGTTGATTTTGAGTGTTTTTCTATGTTTAAATAGTGCTTGGGTTTTTTTATAAATACATGTCTAGGATTGGGTTTATTTATAAATTTGTATATTTTTATCCCCCTCTTTGGAAAATTGGGATCACTAAAATGAACGGAATATAGTGGTAATAATAAAAAATAAAAAATGTTTTTATTTATTTATTTATCACAAAACATCCATGAGCTTCACAAAATTATCATATTGTCTCCTTTTTATTTTTGTGAGAACACATATTAGCCTTAAAACTACGAATGACAATGAAAAAAAAAAAAAAAAAAAAAAAAAAAAAAAAAAAAAATGCAATTTGATGTTTTGGAAACTTCTTGGAAACTTCTGTTAAGCAGCTATCCAGCGCTTGACCTTTTCTATCTCTTTCCTAAATCGTGTAGTTACATACTGGAGTGAGAGCACAGGGTTTAGGAGATACACAGAGAGCGAGAGAGAGATAAGAAAGTAGTGGCGAGAGCAGAGAGAGAGGAGAGAGTAAAGTTATTGGAAATCGCGTAGTTACAGTAGTGAGAGCACAAGTTTTCTTTTGCTTTTCAATGAAGAGGAAGGAGTATTGGACAAGTTCAAGTTCTTTCGACTGTTGGACCAATTATTTCAATAGTTGCTTTCTTGGTAAATCGATCAATCAATAATATCGACATTGGTTAAAGCATCAAGGATTTTCCCTTTCCGCAAATTGTTTTTTGCCAAACCTTTTGGTAAATTTACAATGTTATCATTCTGTCATAACTTTATTGAATCCCTTAAATTATATTATGCAGGATTGTAATTAGGCACAACAATTCTGGTCCATTTTACAAGATTTTGGCATGAAATCCCCACCTACCAATGTAGAGGATCATGTCCAAATGGCATTAGGTTTCACCTTCTTTTCTTGAACGATTCTTTACCAAATGTTGGAAAATTTGGCATCGTAGTAATGATTTGATCTTTCAAAATTAGTCATATTAAATTCTTCTCAGTATAACCTATTAAATAAGGAACTTAAGAGCATTATCCCTACACTAGAGGTCTAACGTTGAATTTCCCTTCCACCAATATCACTTATTAAAAAAAAATTAAAAAGAGCACAAAATATTGTCCTCCAATTGCGTTAGGTAAATAATAATCTTATAGATGTATTTAATCTAAGGAGGACGCTTTAAGTTCAAATTCTCTTTGCATATGTTAGTTGTGGCCCAACTCATACATTCATATGAAGTTTTGCACACATGATGAAGTACAATAACATTGTGAGGTTTAGTTTGAGATATAACGCGGTATGCCAATTTCAGCTTACAAATATAAAAGAAAATTTGCTAGAAAGACCCAAAGCGTTTGTGAAGTAATTTTGGACAAACATGAGAAACAGCTGATAGAAAGGGAGATGACAATGCATTTGAACTGAAGATTTGCTGAATTAAACTTGAATATTGCATAATAAACATGAAAATCCACATATTTGGGACACAAGAAAACAAAAGCTAAATGAAGAACCAAAGATAAGACCGCATAAGTAACTCTTACCCAAAAGCTAATTTGAAGATTCCATGAAGTTGATTCTAACAAGTCAAAACTAAAACCATCGATTCCGTTTCGAAAGTTGAAGCAATAACTCATGGTGAGACAATCCAAAATGGGGTTCCTACAGTTTGAGGTTTCTTGGAGTTCATCTGACAAAAACAGGACTACTTTCCTCAAAGTCAAAATGGCAAGAGTCAAAGCATGGCTAAACAGAAATAACTTAGCATACAGCCCGTACAAACAATGGCTATGAATCGGGAGCATAAAAAATGAAAATTTTAGGCAGCCCAGCATTAGAGGTGAATTGCTCAAATAAATTCAGCATGCACAACCACCTCTTTGATAAAACATCCTTGGAAATATCTGCAAGTAAAAAGGAAATGGAAAAAATTGATAAAACATCATGTTTAAATGGGTCATAAATGTATCTCATAGCAAGCTCCAGAATCTGACACTACTACAAAAAGTGACAAAGACGACTAGAAAAAAACGACGGTCTAAGTGAAAACCGTCGTTGTTTTTTAAAAGACGACGGTTTTATAAAACCGCCGTGTAATAACACCTTAGACAACTAAAAAATGGAGATTCAAATGGCTGTTCCTAAAACACAACGTACCTAATTAAAAAACCGACGTCTTATTGAAATAAGATTTTCAAGTGGTAAAATTATAGCCAACAAATAACGGCGGAAGTTATAAACCAACCAACGTAGAAAGTAAAGACGACGATTTCAAAAAAAACCGTCGTTTTTACCCAGAAATTAACACAACCAAGTTTTCGTATAAGGCGCCGTATAATTACAAATAAATCTACGGCGGTAAAATACAAAATACCGCCGTATTAAATTAATGTACAACTACGGCAAAGATAAATATAACGACGTCTTTCTCGTATTTCTACGACGATATCTTTAAATCTCACCAAGTTGGGGTTTTCATTTAACGTCGTATTTATCCACTTTATACGTCATACATTATATTTAAACCGTTGTCTGAATAAGAATTTTTTTTAACAATTTATTTCTTGGATTTTGTTATCCTACGTCGGTAGATCTACTTAATGACAAGAATTGAAATAACCACGACGGTTTATATAGAAAACCGTTTGAGACATTTTCAAAACATTTATTCAATAATAGCCCATTCCTCTCATATTGCCTCTTTGTTATCCCCATTAGTGCATCTTTGTTGTCTCCATAGTGCCTCTTTACTACAAGGGTGACTAAAAGTTCTGAATTATTTTTTTGCATACATGTACCGTGTTAAATTGTGATCGACAGAAAAATAAGGCAAGTATTTTCGTTCTCTATTTCATCTACTCCTACAACTTTCGAATTGATTATTTTCTGTGTGTTGTTTTCTATTTGTCTGCAGACAGTCAATTTTGCATCTTGTTTTTGGTTGGGTTGGTTCTTTTCCTGCAAATTCTCTGGCTTTGTGATTGTTTTGGTGGTCTGCTGAGCTTATTGTCCACAGTTGACATTTCCTTTTCATTGATCTGTAGTTTGTTTTCTTTATTCTCTTTTGCTTAATACATTTTCAATTACCAAAAGAAAAATTAAAGCTAGCACTATACCATCTTCTTTCTATGTTTCTACTGAGTGTGTTCAAAGCCAGATTTTGAGGAACCGTCTTTTCCAATGGCCTTGAGCACCCAAAGAGCCTCTGCATCTCTTTCAGCTGAATTGGCTCCTCCTCGATGGAAACATGATGTTTTTCAGAGTTTCAGGGGTGCAGACACTCGCAGGGGTTTTATGTCTCATTTAGACCACGAACTGCGGTACCGGCAAACAATAAAAACGTTCAAGGACATTGTACGACGATGGAAAAGCAGAGGCGTTGTAGTGTGATGGAAAGTTTGAGACACTTAGAGCGATGAAAAGTTGGGGACACTGTAAGGTTAAAGATAAGGTACTGATCTAAACAACATAGCCAGTTGCAAAGATCTTTAGAGGTGAATGATTCATGTTCGCTACTTATCTAATTCTTAACTATAAACCGTTATAACAGCATCCTAAAAGATCTCAAATTAAGTTTTAAGGAGAATATTTCACTATGTTTATGTGCTATCTATCGACTGTGCGCAAATGATTCCAAAAAACAGCTGATTCTCATTCTCTGAATCTGGAGTAGCTGATGAATCTAAGTATATTCTAAAAACAGTAAAATAGAACCACAGACATTAACAAGAAGACAACCACAGACATCATGTAACACTAGCTCAGAAAACCACATACAAAATTGAGTTTCGTATTATAACGCAACCATCCAAAAGCGTTTATTAATATCCAGTTTTCATAGTATAACACAACCATCCAAAATCAGTTTATTGACAATATCCAGTTTTGACACCAAATACCATTTACTAACCTTCATGTTGGTCAAAGGCATGGATAGAAACACAGAAAATGTGACAGCATATAATTCCCTCTCGTTTTCACATTAAATTACATGCACTCATTTGGCAAATTGTTAAGTTCAACACTACACAAGTCTGGAAAGTAAAATACATGCGAAAAAGAGCAAAGCCAAAGGATTACAAAGGAAAAATAACTAGACAATAGCAAAGGATATCATTATAATTTAATCCACACATATCTTTTTGAGGTGAAGACTGATAACCGTGGAAATACTTACTTGTTCACGAGGCCTCCATTGACAGAATCACAATAATGCTTCATCCATCACATGAACTCCAAATTATCCAGAGGCCTTCCTTTCACATGCTTGCTCACCTCAATGTGCTAAAAATCCCCAAACACACAGAATACCAAAAAAAGAGTAAAGAGATAAATTATTTAAAGGAATTTTACGACAGAAATTAAAGAGAATGAAAATGCAAACTTACCATACGCTGGCCAGGAATAATTGTTGAAATATGACCCTGTTTAAGCTGCTTTGCTTCTTTGCTCCGCAATGAATATTCAAATGATCCATTATTTGAGCCAGCACATGGAAAATAGCAACTTCTAGCAGCGAAGTAAGCATGATTTGTATCGGCGAACATTTAAAAAATGAAAATTTAAGGAAAACGTTACAGTATACCAGTGACATTCATTTAAGAAAAAAAAACATCAGGAAGCTTTTTCATCTCTCTCTTGCTTGCTAGCTATGGCTTTTACCATTATTTTCTTGAGCTGACGAGGTGCTTGAGTGTCTCCAAACCCTATTCAAAAGACACAGGAAATAACAATGTAATCCTATACACTCAGAACAAAACAGAGCAGTAAAGATTAATCCATATGAAGCAAGCATTGACTCAAAATTCATTAATTAGTCACCTCCTCTGCAAATGCTTCGCCCAAAGAGCAATATAACTCTGCACAAATCACAGCCCAACCCAGTTTTGTTAGGGCAATTTGCAGTGATCACAGTGGGTTCCCCAACCTTCTCTGCCTTGCCAATTACCACAACATCCTGCAAAGCTCAGCGGCAATGGAGAAAGTGTGAGCCAAAACGCACTGCATGCCAAAGTCAACAAAATTTCCTATCCATGGACTCACTGCAACCTTCTCTGCCTTCCTTTCTTTTCTCTCTGTGTTTTCCTAAAAGACTAAAGTGCAAATATGATCAAGTTTTCCACTTGACAAATTACTACAAGCAAAATGTGACATTAATAAATGCAATTAGATCGATATTTTGACCAAAATTTAAGATACTCAAACTCAAGTAAATCCAAAACTCAGTAAGAGACTTGGACTTGAAAAATCTAACAAACCCAAAATTGAAAGGTAGTCCCAAGAAAGGATGAAAAGTACTTCCTATCTCTTAGCTTGAGCCTTGAAATATAAATATCAATTAAACTAGGTATACCAACTTCATATCTCTGTTTTACAGACCAACAAAGTATGAAAAATGTACTAAAACCACAAGAAAAAAAGGTAACAACAGCTTTGGTGGTCCAAAGTGGATTAAAATCTGTAAAAAAATCCTTCATATCTTATTGCTGGAAAGGGAAGAATAAATTAAACTAGAGTCGTTGTCAAATTATTAAATAAAGATCAAAACCAAATTGTACCAACTTGAGATCTCTGTTTTACACAAGAGAGTCGGGTCAAAGAAAAAGAAAGGTGAAGGAAATTACCCGAACAACACCTCCCTAGCTGACAACACCTCCCTAGAGAAAAACTGTGGTGTGGAAGGAAAAGGCAATTACTTGATCTTTTCAACCGCACAACGTCTCCAATGAGAAAGGACGGAAGGAACATACGAAATTTCGTGGAAGTTCCCTCTCTGAAAGGGTTTTCTCTTTCTTTAGCTTTACCCCTTTTAAGTAAAATGAGCGGAACATATCTGTGGTATATGCAGCAATATCAGTTTTCTTAGGCCATCTTCATCCATGTTGAGGCTAAACTTAAATTTTCATCATTCAAAATACAACTATTCATGTATTTTCAGAATTTAATTTTTCAAATTTCCACCCCCCAAATACATGAGTTGGAGAAGTTTTTTAGACTCAAAATCTCATGTATTTTCAGCTGCCCGTGAAGATAAATTGGTTAGCAACAAACTTAAATTGGGTCTAAAATACCAAACCTCAGAAACAACATTCCTCAGATCATCTTGTTGCAACATTAAGATTTAAAACAATAGATTGAGTCTAAAAAACCGATGCATTATATAAAATGCATCCAGACGTAAATAATTATTACTGCATCTATAGCATTTGTACTATGTCAGTCTTCTTAGCTCCAAAATGATTTCCCTTGATAGAGCTACTACTGAAAACAATCCTAGTCACTCATCTCAGCCAAAGACTTGAGTCAAGCTCATGTGATTAGTTAGAACTAACTCTATCTTTTGTTAAACCTGTTGTAACAGATCTTGTATAGCTGTCACTCCTATAACCTTTTACTTGTATATTATATAAGCATTGTAATCATAATTACATTAAGTGAATGAGAATATTCAGTTTTCCTACATCCCTACTGTAGTGAACAGATGGAAACCCATAATAAAAATACAAATTTATAAATAAACCCAATCCTAGACATGTATTTATAAAAAAACCTAAACACTATTTAAACATAAAAACACACCTAAAATCAACTCAAAATCAAAATCGTATATTTTTTGGGTGTGTTTATCAATGGATTTTGAGTGTGTGTAATGATGAGTTTTGGGTGTGTTTATAAAGTGTTTTGGGTGTTGAATTTTTTTATAATTTCAGCCCCATTTTGGATGTCTTTAGTGAAACTCCTTAAGAAAAATGTAGGAACAGAACAGATGGAAAAAAAAAAAGAGGGGAAGGAAAAATAATGGAAGAGAGAGAGAGAGAGAGAGAGAGAGAACCGCGTAGTGAACACGGTCCCTTTCTCTTTACAGCCACACGTCGTCTGCAATGGGATGGGGCCGGGCATTATATGAGATTTAATTTGAGGGGAACATGATTTCTCTTCAGAGTCACCCAGCTTTACCAAAGAATCGTCGTAAAAATAATTCAAAACCAATTTCTGCATACAAAAAGACAAGCAAATGAAGAAGCACGGAAAAATACCAAAGAAAGACTTGAACACAGCCACCACACACAAAGTTTGAGAAAACAAGAAGAGAAAGGACGACACTTTCCACCCAAAGGAAGGAACATACAATTTCATGAAAGTTCCCTCTCTGAAATGTTTTTTCTTTCTTTACCTTTATTTTTATCCCCCTCTTTGGAAAATTGGGATCACTAAAATGAACGGAATATAGTGGTAATAAAATAAAATAAAAAGTTTTTATTTATTTATTTATCACAAAACGTCCCTGAGCTTCACGAAATTATCATATTATCTTTTTTTTTTGTGAGAACACATATTAATCTTAAAAATTACGAATAACCCAAAAAATAAAAAAAATACGCAATTTGATAGTTTCAGAAACTTCTGTTAAAGCAGCTCTCCAGCGCTTGACCTTTTCTATGTCTTTCCTAAATCGTGTAGTTACATATTGTAGTGAGAGCACACGGTCTAGGAGAGAGAGAGAGAGAGAGAGAGAGAGAGAGAGAGAGATAAGAAAGTAGTGGCGAGAGCAGAGAGAGAGGAGAGAGAGAGTAAAGTTATTGGAAATCGTGTAGTTACAGTAGTGAGAGTGTGGGAGCAGATATTTTCGTCTCCAATCACAGCGCGCCACGCGAAAAAGAAAATTATCTCTTTTAATTAATTAATTGAACCAGTTTATCTGACCAATTAATTAATTGAGATAAATATCTTAATTAAATGATATTATCTTTATTTAATAAGATAATATCAACAATTAAGATATTATCTGTTTGTGCAAATAATCTCACGAGAGAATATTCGCTTCTAGATCCTTCAACCTTCGATCTTCCTTCTCTCTCTTCCTCGATTCCTGTAAAACAGATTGGAGTAAATAGACCACACCCGGGGGGTGTTGGCCAAAGGCCCTCCGATGCCTAAGTTAGTTCGAGTGTTTGTAGAAAAACAATAGCTAAGGAAAGGGTACGGAGTAGTGTTTATGTAAGGTGTGAACCGGGCGGCCGAAGCCGTGTGGAGAAAATATGGAAAGTGGAGAGGGAGAAAGAGCTTCGGGTATTTTTCTCGGGTATAAGGAGTAGGTTTAGATGTACCTTGAATGATGAATGAAGTCATCTATTTATAGGAGCCTCGGGGCTAGGGTTTCGTAGAGAATATGCTGAGTTTATTCTATACCCAAATTCGTAGGGATCGAGTCGGACTGAGATAATATCTGATTTAATGATATTATCTCTTTTTATGGAGATAATATCTGAATTAAATGATATTATCTCTTTTTATGAAGATAATATATGAGATAATGACATTATCTTCTCTTTATTAGGATAATATCTTAATTAATGATATTATCTTATTAAATAAAGATAATATCATTTAATTAAGATATTTATCCCAATTAATTAATTGGCCAGATAAACTGGTTCAATTAATTAATTAAAAGAGATAATCTTCTTTTCCACGTGGCGTGCTGTGATTGGAGACGAAAATATCTGCTCCCACATTATCCTAATAAAGAGAAGATAATGTCATTATCTCAGATATTATCTTCATAAAAAGAGATAATATCATTTAATTCAGATATTATCTTCATAAATAGAGATAATATCATTAAATCAGATATTATCTCAGTCCGACTCGATCCCTACGAATTTGGGTAGAGAATAAACTCAGCATATTCTCTATGAAACACTAGCCCCGAGGCTCCTATAAATAGATGACTTCATTCATCATTCAAGGTACATCTAAACCTACTCCTTATACCCAAGAACAATATCCGAAGCTCTTTCTCCCTCTCCACTCTCCATATTTTCTCCACACGGCTCCGGCCGCCCGGTTCACACCCTACATAAACACTACTCCGTACCTTTGTTTAGCTATTGTTTTCTACGAACACTCGAACTAACTTAGGCATCGGAGGGCCTTTGGCCAACACCCCCCGGATGTGGTCTATTTACTCCAATCTGTTTTACAGGAATCGAGGAAGAGAGAGAAGGAAGATCGAAGGTTGAAGGATCTAGAAGCGAATATTCTCCCGTGAGAATATTTGCACAAACATTTGGTGCTTTCATTGAGAGCACGAGTTATACTCAACGCGTGCTCAAGGAATCCGTTCCTCATATTTTCCAATCCACCGAAGCCTTCCAAACAACCATGGTTGGAAGCAAGCGCACTAGGAGTAAAACCGCCGCGGTGGCTCAATCCGTGACGGCCCAAAGCCACTCCACCCACGATCCCGCGATCAACATGGTGGCACCACCACCTCTCGCCACCGTGCCACCTACCGGACCCGCGACCGAATCTAGCAACCTCCGTGGCACCGCCGCCAAACATGGTGGAACCTCCCATCAAGGTGGGCTCGTTACCACCACCGACTTAGGCCCGGTCTTCGAGCAACTTCAAGCATTCCCTCCATTGCCTCCACGCTCGACACACGCTCTCGCATACACCTCCAGTGAAACCCTAGCCCGTGTGCAATTGGGCTCCACACGCTTCTCTCCTCCCGATCCACAAAGTCAAGCAGATCTCAACCTGAGAGTTGACCAGCTAGCTCAGAGAATGGACGACCAAAACGCTCTTATGAGGCAGCTCCTTAATAAAATAAGCATGGCTCAAAATCTTGGCCTTGGACAACCAGGCGAAGTGAGAAGAATAGACGAACGCACCGGTGGGCAGCTCAACGCGCACCAAGCGGGTCGAGCAGGAGCGAGCAGACACATCCACGTGATCAGCTTGCCGACATGTCGCAAGCATCTGCAAGCCACACATAAAGCAACGTGCGAGAAAGGCTCGGCCCATGACTTGACGTCCGTGCTTGCCTGGGCCCGCAGGGGAATGTACTTCAAAGGCTAGGCTCCTAGGGAGATCAAACTGACAATCGCCGCAATGAGGATCGTGAAGAAAGGCGCTCCGCTGCCCACTCGCAGAGAAATATTCACGAAAGGCTAGGCCCCAAGGGAGGTCAACCCGCTAACCCTTGCAATGAGGATCGTGAAGAGAGGCACTCCATTGCCCGCTCTCGGAGAACCAACTCTCGCCGTCAAGCTGCAGAAAATCCCTCGCAATCGCAGTCCACCAACACGCCTCCTAGGTAGCGCGGACGAGAGGACCGACCCTTGCAGACCAACGAGGAGGTCAATCAGCGTCGCCCGAATCGCAAAAGTCGCCAACGTGATCGACCAGCACTGCGGGCGGAAGACGTTGAGAAGCTTGTGAATGACCGATTTTGAGACTTGAAGACTGGCGGGAACCTCGAGGATGCACTACGTAAGGAGTGGACCAGGCGATCTCTACTCCTTTCACCCCTGAAATCGAGCAGGCTGCTCCCCCGAAGCGATTCTCAACGCCTTCTTTTACGCATTTCAAGGGAGATTCTGATCCCGAGAGCCACCTAAAACACTTCAAAAGTGTCATGATCCTCCACAAGGCCGACGACGCACTGATGTGCAAGGCGTTTGCAATGACATTGCGAGGAGCAGCTCAGGACTGGTTCCACACCCTGCCATCTGGGTCGATCAACAGCTTCAAGGAGCTTGCTTATGTCTTCACTAAAGAATATACTTCTTATCGGTCAATCAATAAGAATCCTGACCATCTGTTCAACCTGCACAAGAAGTCCAATGAATCCCTGCGAGACTACATCAAGAGGTTCAAGGCGGAGAGGGCAAACACTATAGGATGTGATGACCAAATTGTGTTCTCTGCCTTCAAGAGGGGGTTGCCAATTGAATGTGAGTTGTATCGCGAGCTGACCATCTATCCTCGCCAAACACTGGTAGAAGTCTTTGCTATAGCAGAGCGCTACGTATTATGGGACGACGACCGGATCGCCACAAAGAAGGCTGATCAAGTAGCTGAGCAGGCAAGCCAAGAGAACGGCAAGCGCAGATCACAACCTTAGGAAGGTGCTTCAGCAGCGGAGAGCTACACCAAGTTCACTATCCCGATACACCAGATCCTAGCCCAAGTAAAAGACATGCCTTGGTTGAAGAAACCATCGCCTTTAAAGAGAAACCCAACCAAGAAGGATACCAGTAGATACTGCACATTCCATGAAGGGCATGGTCATTACACAAACGACTGCTTCGCCTGGAAAAGGCACCTTGAAGATCTAGTCAGAGACGGCCATTGCACGGAATTCATGGCAAGGAGGGCTATCCAGGAAATCAAGGATTGTGACGCAGCTAACGATGAACCTCCACGAAAAGGTCATATGGATCAACACGATCCTAGCTGACTCCAAAAGCCCAGACTGACCACCAGGGGGCAAAAGAGAAGGATCAAGCAGGCGACTTCCGTCTCCTAAGCCGTCACTAGCTACCAAGTTGTGGAAGACGAACCTTTCATCATCTTTCAATGGAAGGAAGTTCTAAGACAATGAAATACCCATCACCTCCAAGGGTACTATCCATGAAGCTCTTCACCTATCAGCTCGGCTCTAAGCAGGCGACAAAGCCTTCCTCACCTCCATTGAAGACAAGTTACTTTTGATGTTACTCATGCACTCATCTTTTTTGTTCAATAAGGCAATGTAGTCACACAGACATCAATACAAGTTCAAGCTTTTCTTTCCAATGAAGTATTCACAAAAGCAATCGACACGTTTCCGGACGTAGGCCAAACGGGCCACTCTCATGACACGTCCCCGGACGTAGGCCCAACGGGCCACTATCATCGACACTTCTCCGGACGTAGGCCAAACGGGCCACTATCATCGACACGTCTCCGGACGTAGGCCAAACGGGTCACACATCGACACGTCTCCGGACGTAGGCCAAACGGGCCACATCATCGACACGTCCCAGACGTAGGCCAAACGGGCCACTATCATCGACACGTCCCAGACGTAGGCCAAACGGGCCACTATCATCGACATGTCTCTAGACGTAGACCAAACGGGTCACACACATCGACATGTCCCTGGACGTAGGCCAAACGGGCCACTATCATCGACACGTCTCCGGACGTAGGCCAAACGGGTCACACATCGACACGTCTCCGAACGTAGGCCAAACGGGCCACTATCATCGACACGTCCCCAGACGTAGGCCAAACGGGCCACTATCATCGACATGTCTCGGACGTAGACCAAACGGGTCACACACATCGACACGTCTCTGGACGTAGGCCAAACGGGCCACTATCATCGACACGCCTCCGGATGTAGACCAAACAGGTCACACACATCGACACGTCTTCGGACGTAGGCCAAACGGGTCACTATCATCGACACGTCTCTGGACGTAGGCCAAAGGGTCACTCTCATGACACGTCTCTGGACATAGGCAAAACGGGCCACTATCATCGACACGTCCCAGACGTAGGCCAAACGGGCCACTATCATCGACATGTCTCTAGACGTAGACCAAACGGGTCACACACATCGACATGTCCCTGGACGTAGGCCAAACGGGCCACTATCATCGACACGTCTCCGGACGTAGGCCAAACGGGTCACACATCGACACGTCTCCGAACGTAGGCCAAACGGGCCACTATCATCGACATGTCTCCGGACGTAGGCCAAACGGGCCACTATCATCGACACGTCCCCAGACGTAGGCCAAACGGGCCACTATCATCGACATGTCTCCGGACGTAGACCAAACGGGTCACACACATCGACACGTCTCTGGACGTAGGCCAAACGGGCCACTATCATCGACACGCCTCCGGATGTAGACCAAACAGGTCACACACATCGACACGTCTTCGGACGTAGGCCAAACGGGTCACTATCATCGACACGTCTCTGGACGTAGGCCAAACGGGTCACTCTCATTGACACGTCTCTGGACATAGGCCAAACGGGCCACCCTCATCAACACGTCTCCAGACTTAGGCAAAACATGCCTCAACCCAGAAACACTCAAGCAGTTCACAAGACACTATGCAAATTGAAGTTGAAAAAATAACTGAAATTTCCTTAGTAAAGTGACCAACCGGCCAAAGTTCAACAAAAAGAAGACGGTCAAGCAAGACCAATTATTCTAAATGAGAAAGCATACTACAAAAGCTGAAAAGAAATAAAGAAGTCTTCATCTACTTCGAGACGCCAGCAGGAGATCCCTGATCTGCAGCCACTTCAGCGTCCGTTTGATCAGCCACACTCTCAGCAGCTCCACTTGCCTGATCCTCCACGTCTGCCCCCACCTCATTTTTGAAGGAGAAGAAATGTTGCTTCCTTTTGTTTTTCCAAGGAAAGACTTGGGAAAGTACCAAGATCGCCAGCCTGACGGATTTGATGAACCAGCTCAGCACAAGTGGATGGACTTGACAGAAAGTTCGTCTTGAGCAGATCAGACACGCCTACATCCTCTGCAAGGGTGGACTTGTCCACCTTGGGATCAGCTGCTGACGTTGCAGAAGAGCCCTTCGCCCAGGCAAATGACTCTCTTGCTTTCTTAGCCTCTGTCAACCTCACTTCCAAAGGAATTGGCGACGATGAATCCACTCCATGCTTGACTGCTCGTGACTCAACAATTGAAACATGATGGTTGGATGGATGAGCAGACTGCCCAGATCGACTTCCAATCTTCGACTAGTACAAACGACTCAAATTTCGAAAAGGAGCATCCGCATCTCTTTGCCTCTCAACAAGTGAGTTAGATCGCGCACGGACTACTTTACGGAGCATATCACGATCTCCAAACTCATCAGGCTTGAGCTTTCGAAGACTAACATCAGCCTTCCTCTTTTAGGGGAGTTTAGCAAAACACTCATCATGTCCAGCAAGCAAATCATCAAGGCTCGGACCATCCTGCTTCCATCTATCGACGTCTTTAGCAGGGGGCAGTCCACCAACTTCCTCCTGATCGTCGCTCAGCAGCTGCCAGCGGCCACCGTCGCTCCAATCGTCTTTGGCCGCCAGTCACGACGACAACTAGCCTGGTCCCAACCAACTGGTCCTCGCCTTGAAAAAGAGAAGATGAAGAAAAATTTACTTGCTCGACTTACTTTGGGATGCACGGCAACTCCTCTCTTCGACAAGCAGTACAAAATTCTCCAAGATCTTTCTCAAGCTAGAAAGTAGAGAAGTTAAGTTTGCGATGTAAGAAAGAGTGAAGAGAAGCCCTGTATTTATACAAGTTGGACAACCCGGGTCAAGAAGGAATCTCAAGCTCTTTCCTACTGGGAATCCAATTCCAACAACAGTCAGAAGCCTACACCAATTGAGAATCCGATCTGCAAAAGGAGTCCAACTCACAGAAGAAAGCCCAGACTCAGTTGGAGAGCCCGAAAAAAAAATTTCATCTCCTACATGCCACACAAGCGTTACGCAGAAGCTGGGGGGCATTTGTGGGAGCAGATATTTTTGTCTCCAATCACAGCGCGCCACGCGGAAAAGAAGATTATCTCTTTTAATTAATTAATTGAACCAGTTTATCTGGCCAATTAATTAATTGGGATAAATATCTTAATTAAATGATATTATCTTTATTTAATAAGATAATATCATTAATTAAGATATTATCCTAATAAAGAGAAGATAATGTCATTATCTCAGATATTATCTTCATAAAAAAGATAATATCATTTAATTCATATATTATCTCCATAAATAGAGATAATATCATTAAATCAGATATTATCTCTGTCCGACTCGATCCCTACGAATTTGGGTAGAGAATAAACTCAGCATATTCTCTATGAAACCCTAGCCCCGAGGCTCCTATAAATAGATGACTTCATTCATCATTCAAGGTACATCTAAACCTACTCCTTATACCCGAGAACAATATCCGAAGCTCTTTCTCCCTCTCCACTCTCCATATTTTCTCCACACGGCTCCGGCCACCACACACGGCTCCAGCCGCCCGGTTCACACCCTACATAAACACTACTCCGTACCCTTTGTTTAGCTATTGTTTTCTACAAACACTCGAACTAACTTAGGCATCGGAGGGCCTTTGGCCAACACCCCCCGGGTGTGGTCTATTTACTCCAATTTGTTTTACAGGAATCGAGGAAGAGAGAGAAGGAAGATCGAAGGTTGAAGGATCTAGAAGCGAATATTCTCCCGTGAGAATATTTGCACAAACAGAGAGCACACGTTTTCTTTTGCTTTTCAATGAATAGGAAGGAGTATCCGACAAGTTCTTTTGACTGTTGGACCAATTATTTCATTAGTTGCTTTCTTGGTAAATCGATCAATCAATAATATCGACATTTGGTTAAAGCATCAAGGATTTTCCCTTGCCGCAATTTTTTTTTTACCAAACCTTTTGGTAAATTTACAATGTTATCCTTCTGTCATAACTTTATTGAATCCCTTAAATCATATTATGCAGGATTGTAATTAGGCACAACAATTCTGGTCCATTTTACAAGATTTTGGCATGAAATCCCCACTACCAATGTAGAGGATCATGTCCCAATTAGGTGGAGTCCAATTAGGAGGGGACTACAAGCACGCATGCATCACAGCCAAAGACCAAACAAGATACAAGTTAAAGTAGAAATGTCAGATAAAGAAAAGAAACAGAAGGTGCCATAGATGGGCAAAGGACGTCGAAATCTGATCTAACATTCCTCAAGCGCTGTGAGTTGGGGGGCAAGGAAGACCATCTTTGTCCAAGATTCCAATCAATGAGGATGGGGGTCGGTTGACCCAAATAGATAGGCTCATCCTCGACATAGCTAACTTGGCTAAATGGCATTAGGTTTCACCTTCTTTTCTTGAACGATTCTTTACCAAATGTTGGAAAATTTGGCATCGTAGTAATGATTTGATCTTTCAAAATTAGTCATATTAAATTTCTTCTCAGTATAACCTATTAAATAAGGAACTTAAGAGCATTATCCCTATACTAGAGGTCTAACATTGAATTTCCCTTCCACCAATATCACTTATTAAAAAAAAATTAAAAAGAGCACAAAATATTGTCCTCCAATTGCGTTAGGTAAATAATAATCTTATAGATGTATTTAATCTAAAGAGGACGCTTTAAGTTCAAATTCTCTTTGCATATGTTAGTTGTGGCCCAACTCATACATTCATATGAAGTTTTGCACACATGATGAAGTACAATAACATTGTGAGGTTTAGTTTGAGATATAACGCGGTATGCCAATTTCAGCTTACAAATGTAAAAGAAAATTTGCTAGAAAGACCCAAAGCGTTTGTGAAGTAATTTTGGACAAACATGAGAAACAGCTGATAGAAAGGGAGATGACAATGCATTTGAACTGAAGATTTGCTGAATTAAACTTGAATATTGCATAATAAACATGAAAATCCACATATTTGGGACACAAGAAAACAAATGCTAAATGAAGAACCAAAGATAAGACCGCATAAGTAACTCTTACCCAAAAGCTAATTTGAAGATTCCATGAAGTTGATTCTAACAAGTCAAAACTAAAAGCATCGATTCCGTTTCGAAAGTTGAAGCAATAACTCATGGTGAGACAATCCAAAATGGGGTTCCTACAGTTTGAGGTTTCTTGGAGTTCATCTGACAAAAACAGGACTACTTTCCTCAAAGTCAAAATGGCAAGAGTCAAAGCATGGCTAAACAGAAATAACTTAGCATACAGCCCGTACAAACAATGGCTATGAATCGGGAGCATAAAAAATGAAAAATTTAGGCAGCCCAGCATTAGAGGTGAATTGCTCAAATAAATTCAGCATGCACAACCACCTCTTTGATAAAACATCCTTGGAAATATCTGCAAGTAAAAAGGAAATGGAAAAAATTGATAAAACATCATGTTTAAATGGGTCATAAATGTATCTCATAGCAAGCTCCAGAATCTGACACTACTACAAAAAGTGACAAAGACGACTAGAAAAAAACGACGGTCTAAGTGAAAACCGTCGTTGTTTTTTAAAAGACGACGGTTTTATAAAACCGCCGTGTAATAACACCTTAGACAACTAAAAAATGGAGATTCAAATGGCTGTTCCTAAAACACAACGTACCTAATTAAAAAACCGACGTCTTATTGAAATAAGATTTCAAGTGGTAAAATCATAGCCAACAAATAACGGCGGAAGTTATAAACAACCGACGTAGAAAGTAAAGACGACGATTTCAAAAAAAACCGCCGTTTTTACCCAGAAATTAACACAACCAAGTTTTCGTATAAGGTGCCGTATAATTACAAATAAATCTACGGCGGTAAAATACAAAATACCGCCGTATTAAATTAATGTACAACTACGGCAAAGATAAATATAACGACGTCTTTCTCGTATTTCTACGACGATATCTTTAAATCTCACCAAGTTGGGGTTTTCATTTACATTTAACGTCGTATTTATCCACTTTATACGTCATACATTATATTTAAACCGTTGTCTGAATAAGAATTTTTTTTAACAATTTATTTCTTGGATTTTGTTATCCTACGTCGGTAGATCTACTTAATGACAAGAATAGAAATAACCACGACGGTTTATATAGAAAACCGTTTGAGACATTTTCAAAACATTTATTCAATAATAGCCCATTCCTCTCATATTGCCTCTTTGTTATCCCCATTAGTGCATCTTTGTTGTCTCCATAGTGCCTCTTTACTACAAGGGTGACTAAAAGTTCTGAATTATTTTTTTGCATACATGTACCGTGTTAAATTGTGATCGACAGAAAAATAAGGCAAGTATTTTCGTTCTCTATTTCATCTACTCCTACAACTTTCGAATTGATTATTTTCTGTGTGTTGTTTTCTATTTGTCTGCAGACAGTCAATTTTGCATCTTGTTTTTGGTTGGGTTGGTTCTTTTCCTGCAAATTCTCTGGCTTTTTTTTTTTTTTTTTTTTTTTTTTTTTTTTTTTTTTTTTTTTTTTTTTTTTTTTTTTTTTTTTTTTTTTTTTTTTTTTTTTTTTTTTTTTTTTTTTTTTTTTTTTTTTTTTTTTTTTTTTTTTTTTTTTTTTTTTTTTTTTTTTTTTTTTTTTTTTTTTTTTTTTTTTTTTTTTTTTTTTTTTTTTTTTTTTTTTTTTTTTTTTTTTTTTTTTTTTTTTTTTTTTTTTTTTTTTTTTTTTTTTTTTTTTTTTTTTTTTTTTTTTTTTTTTTTTTTTTTTTTTTTTTTTTTTTTTTTTTTTTTTTTTTTTTTTTTTTTTTTTTTTTTTTTTTTTTTTTTTTTTTTTTTTTTTTTTTTTTTTTTTTTTTTTTTTTTTTTTTTTTTTTTTTGTGGTTTGTGGGACTGCCACGTGTCGAAGGGGGCGAGGTTGCCCTAATGTTGCGATCGGTGGGTTTTATACCGAAGGTGGATGCCGAAGTTCTCGTTAGCTCATTTACATTTAGTAGTTTATTCATTCTAATATTGAAAACTAGGGCAAAATAGCACGAGTTAAAATATAACCTCTAATAGAAACTTCAAATGCAGAATGAAAAGAAAAATTGGAATAAAGGTCGACCAAAGATGTCTTATTCAACTTACTTTACGGTCAGCATGCTAGTCTTCTTGTTACATCTGCTCTAATTATTGGAAAAATAGAGTAATAATCTTTTACTCATATGAATCTTTTTGTTCAACAAAAATGTAGGAGGTCGAGACTATTGCATTACCCCAGATTAAAGAATCTGTTAATAACAACCGTATGACGCCGCGTGAGTTGTTTACAAGGAGCCACAAGGAATTGGTGAAGGAGGGAGAAAGATGGATGAAAGAAACTGCAACTTCTTGTACAGTTGTAGGTGCTCTCATTATTACCATCATGTTTGCTGCAGCATTCACAGTTCCTGGTGGAAACAACGGAGAAACAGGCTTCCCAATATTCTTGCATAAAAATTTATTTATGGCTTTTATAGTTTCAGATGCTATATCGCTCTTTTCATCTACAACTTCGGTGTTGATGTTTTTAGGAATCCTTACATCACGTTATGCGGAACATGATTTCCTCAAATCCTTGCCAACAAAGATGATAATAGGCCTTTCCACCTTATTCATCTCTATTGCCACCATGATGGTTGCCTTTTCTTCTGCCCTTCTCATTATGATCCGTTATGCGGAACATGATTTCCTCAAATCCTTGCCAACAAAGATGATAATAGGCCTTTCCACCTTATTCATCTCTATTGCCACCATGATGGTTGCCTTTTCTTCTGCCCTTCTCATTATGATCCATGAACAATCGTGGATTGTTATTCCAATGATTTTCGTTGCTAGTGTTCCAGTCACCTTATTTATTTGGATGCAATTTCCTCTTCTAGTTGAGATGTACATTTCTACTTATGGACGAGGAATATTTGACAGGAAAGTGAAATCAAGGGCATAAATTCTTCCACTTGGAAGAGGAATATTTGATAGGAAAGTGAAATCATGGACGTAACTCCTTGATGGTACGTGTAAGTGGTAATGTATAACTTTCGTAATGTTTGTAACTTCTAAGAAGCTTGTATGCATTGTCCACGCCATGTATGTGTTTGGCATCCTATAATAAAACTGAAAGTTCAATATCTATTTTATTTGTTCTTGTGAAGATATAATTGTTGGATAAGCTTTTGCTTCCCTCCCCATATCCTTGATTCTCGGTGAAGATAAGCGTGTGAGAAAAGAATTTGGGATAAGTCGTGAAGTTGTTTGACTTTGTTTTGGGCTCTGCCCGTTACATACAAAGATCAAGTCAAAGGCGCCACCATGGTAAAACCTCTGTACCGTAGCAATAGTAAAATAATGCTTGGCTGGATCTCAGAACTAGAAGATTATCTTAAAGTCTTGGTCTTGCAAAATGAGGCTCCGTTGATAGGGAATCTTTAATAATTGTGCAAGTTGCAACATGATCTTTCCATCTCTTTCCATTCACATTCCCCACGTTTCCACGTAGAGGTGTCAAACGGGATGGGCCGGCCCAGCACGGCATGAGCCCAGCCCATTTAAATGAGGCACGGCACGGCACGAGCACGAATATTAATGGGCCGTGCTCGGCACGGCACGAAAACTTGGGCCGGGCCGGGATCAAAAAATGAGGTCCAATGGACCGGGCCGGCCCATGGCCCGACATGAGCCGGGCTTGGCCCGAGCACGCTTCAAGCACGGCACGAGCCCAAGCACGGCCTACTTAACATTTTTTTCTTTCTCAAAAGTCAAAATGCAATAATTTGACATCTAATGTCATTATTTATATGTTTTTTTTAACCATAAATATATATATTTGATGTCTTTCATTTTAGGGAAATTACTTGGCTTCTTAATTAATTAAACATATCAACTACAAATTAATTAAACAACATTGGACTTGATATCTAATCAGTACATATGACATATATGTTTCTCTTATAATCAAAGCAAGACATTATTTCACATATAAAATAATAAGTTGTTTAAAGATGAAAAGTTGAAGTGGACTTTGTAGAGTTTGACACTTTTTGCCCTCCGTCATTTCATATTGTTTGGATGTTTGATTGATTAATGTTTTTAAATAGTTCATCATTTCTTGCCTCTAATTATTATTTTAATGTTTATAATTAAATTATCTAGTGGGAAAAAAAATGAAGTGAAAAAAATCCAAATTAAATGGATTAGTTCTTGGGCCCGAGTATGGCACGAGCACGAGCACGGGCACGGCACGAGCCCGGCCCGATCCGTTTCAATATGGACATGGGCTTTGGGCTGGGTCGGGATCAATGATTTTACTAAATGGGCCGGTACGACACGGCCCGATAAATTAAATGGGCCGGCCCGGCCCGACACGAAAACGTTAAAAGCACGAGTTTAAATGGGATGGGCCGGCCCGGCACGGCCTGTTTGACACCTCTATTTCCACGTTTCCACGTTTCCGGGAGGTGCCTATAAGAATTCAGCCATAACGGACCAGCTGTAGCCAGTAAACACGGTTTTGGGTTGACCATCAGTGCTGGTGGCAGTAGCCAATAGGGCCTATCCAATTAAAAGACTCTTTAATATATATATTTATATGGCGCTGTTTTCGAGCAATGTATATGGCGCAATTTTTCATTTCCTTGGTACATAAAACATAAATTGCAAAGCCTCTCCTAAAAGTAAGCCCTTAGTCAGATCCATCTAAGAATGGCCTTCTACGCAGATGCAGATGTTGTGGAAGTTCTTGATAGTCGTAACTATCTGGATTGGAGTGTATTGGTTAAAACTTAAGAAGAAGAAGAAGAAGAAGTTGATGATAAGTTCAATGTAATGATCCTGTCCTAAATAAATGTCTAATTATTAATTAAACATGATAAAAGACTATTTTACCCCTAGAATATTTTATTAGTATTCAATTTGACTTTTGAGCAGGAAGAAATTTGGGATTTTTGATTGTACCGTTGCGTAGAGTGCGGCAAGATGAGTCCGTAGACACGTAGTGGGCCCGAATCGGAGTTGTAACGAAGAAGTTACGATCAGAAGAAACTCAGTGGCACAGTCGTAATTATCTTGAAATTGGATTTTTATAAGAACATAAAACTCTCTCTCTCTCTCTCTCTCTCTCTCTCTCTCTCTCCCCGCGCGCAGCCCCCTCCCACTTCGTTTTTCTGCACAACCGGTGGCTTCTCAAAGCCACCACCGCCACCACCGTCAACAACCGGCCTCGAGACCGGTCTTGTTCGAACCACCACTTCTACCTCTTCCTTTCCTGACCAGCCCCGCCCCTGGAAGCGCCGGATTCCTTCGGAAAGAGCTCGGAATCGCGCCGGTTTAGACAGAAACTTCGCCGGCTTCGTTCTCCGTCGTCCGGCCACCATTTCCGGCAAGTGAGGTATGCTTTCTCACCTATTTTTCAAGCTCTAGCTGATGGTTTGGGTAGGATTTGGTCAATTTCTAGCCTAGGAGGTTCGATTTCGATTTAGGGTTCGGCCAGTTTTGGGATCGCGATTCCGGCCACTTCCGACCATTTTTCGGGGTATGTCCAAAAACAAAAGTGACTCCAAATGGGGTTTTATACCTAGGATAGGAAGCTTGGCCGGCCGTTTGTAGTTTTTCCGGCCGCAGGAAATTACTCAAGGCACCGGCAGCACGTGGGCCAGGAAAATGGACCGGCTTTAGGTCCTAAAATGATCTCCTGGTTCTCACGAGCGCGTACGTGTGTTCGGATTTCAATTTGGATACCGTTTGAGTATCGAACGGATTTCGCCTATTGTGCGTTATCCGAGTTCGATAGGTTTGAACCGTTGGATCGTCTCGAAGTTAAATTATGATAATCTAGACATCTACAAAATCGTATAGGATTTGACAGATTGTAAAACGGAGTCTCGGATACTCCGAGAATGCCAACTCTAGGGTTAGGTTTATAGTAATTGTCCGATCGTGCGATCGTGAGCGATCCGACTATCCGATCTGGACGAAACTTGGAAGACGTGTGTCCTAAGCCTTGTAGAACAGAAACTTTCGGATCAGAATTTGGAGGTCGTGGGCCTTGTGGGCCCGTTTGACCAAGGATGGGTAGTTTGACCCTGGGTTGACCGTGAGACTCCCGAGGTAGGTTTACCTTCCTAGGAGGATTATCATGACCCTAGTGACAGGTCTTGAGTGTTGTTCAGTTAGGTTGATTATGTGGGATTATGATATTAATTTATTGTTTTAAATTGGGGGATTATCGGATGCTATATTATGGTTGAGGTTTTGCAATAGTGGAAATATATATATATATTATAAAGATGTTTGATTACACTGTAAGTACCATCCTGTGATTGTGAGGTCGCACGTGTCGTATGATTTTCTGGGGTTTAGACAGACCCCATACGTGGCGTTGGATGTTCCAACGTATAGGGAGATTATGTAATTGTTAGGTCCCACGTGGCATAGGATTTTCCAGCGTGAGGACAGACCTCATACGTGGCGTTTGATGTTTCGGCGTATGGGGAGAGTTTCGGCGTATGGGGAGATTATGTAATATGAGATGAGAGGTCACACGTGGCGTAGGATTTTCCAGCGTGTTGACAGACCCCATATGTGGCGTTGGATGTTCCAGCGTATGGGCAGATTATGTGATTGTTAGGTTCCACGTGGTGTAGGATTTTTCGGCGTGAGGACAGACCCCTACGTGGCATTGGATGTTCCGGCGTATGAGGATATTATGTAATATGAGATGAGAGGTCAAGCGTGGCGTAGGATTTTTCGGCGTATGGGGAGATTTTGTGATTATTAGAAAGATGTTTGAAAAAGATTGTGTTTGGTGAGTTGTGATTTCAATTAACAAGGGAATGGAATAAATTCTAGAATGTATGAATTTGTATGGCTGTAATGGTTTGTATGTTTTTGGAACCAGGATTGTTGTTGAAAGAACTACGTGTGGCTTAATCCTTAGTAAGGATACGTAGGCAGCCTAGGGTAGTGCCTAGGTGTAGCCGTGGGCTAAACTTTACTTATGCGTTTGTGTTAGGAGGTTAAAACCTCACATGTTGGTTATTTGGGAAGTTAGATGATGAAATTGTATTTGGCTTTAATAATTATGTCTAAGTTTATTATTTACCTTGTTTGAGGTATTATTTAACTTAAGAGCTTTGTTGGTAGTTTGGTTTCAGATTATTTGAAGGCCGGAGGCCGATTATGTGAATTGCATGAAATTATATTGTGCGTGCTGTCGGTTGGTGATATTAAATGTGTTTTATGCAGGTTGAAATTTTGGGAAATGTTCAAATTACATGTGAGATTCTGCCGAAATTTCGGCAGAAAGCCTCGTGCCCTTATTCCTTTGTGGAAAAGGGAGGTTATAGTTTTAGTGAGTGGGCCCGACATCGGTGTGATGTCGGGAATTTCCGCAGGATTCGTCTCGGGTTTCGAAAAATTCGGGGCGGGTCCTATATTCCTAGCAATTCCATTCAAGATGTAGACAATTAATAGTGGCCGTCAAAGTCATAAAAATAAAAATAAAAAAATAAAAAAAATTAATGGATTATGCCGGTACAATTTTTTCAATTATTAAAACAAAAATAAATGGATTATGTTATATGAAATAATTATTAATTAACACAAACTTGGTGCAGGATATGACGAGAGTCTGTATAAGCCGTTGTTCGATGCTGTGTGGTGTGGGGATTGGGATGAAGCAAAGGAGTTTCTTACCCTACATCCTGATGCAATGAGAGCAAGAATTCCATATAAAAACTGGATAGCTCTTCACCTGGCAACATAACTAGAACACGAGCATATTGTGGAAGAGTTGGTGCAGTTGATGTCAGAGGAAGACTTGGAATTACAGATGATGAGGGTTGGACAGCTCTAGCTCATGCTGCAAATAGAGGAAATCTCAAAATCGTTGAATGCATGGTTAGAAAGAGCAAGAAAATACTTAGTATTCCCACTGAGGACCCTAAAATGACTCCAATTATCTTGGCTTCTCTCGTTGAACAATGGGATGTCGTTCATTGTCTTTACTCCATCTCTCCCCTCCAAGATCTAATGCCAGAGAAAGGACCATACAGCGCTGGACTTCTTTGCAACTTTATTATTGGCATGAAACTTGGTAAGAGTTTTAATTAATCTTATAAATTGATACTCCCTTTTCTCCTTAATTATAAAACTTGTTTTTCTCTATTTCCATTAGGTATTTCTCGGGAATTAATTCAGTGTTGCCCACAATTGGTCTTTACTAAAGACCAATTTGGGTCATTCCCGATGGAAGGATTTGTCCCTTTTGCATTCCCGAGTGGAACACACCTCAAATTTTGGCAACGATGGATCTATAATTGTTAGTATCCACATTCTCTTTCCTCTTACAATTACAATTATATATTTTCAATGTTACATTGCCTGTAATGAACCTAAGACTTCAAATTGACAGCGCTTTTGAATTTGAGATAGCCTTGAAACTTCAAAATAATACTTACTAATCTTAATGGCTAAGAAATGGCAACTTCATTGACTTTATCGGAGGGTGGGGTTCAAAACATCAGACAAAGAACGTAATGGAACACCTAGATGAGAGATGTGGAAATGATGAGGGGACATGGGTGAAAGTTGACAACACAACACAAAACACACACACACACACACATATATATATATATATGCAAAATCAATTATGACAAGATATCCATAATTGTAATAGAAATAGTAAGTCGAAATATATATTGATTGAGGTTAATTACTGTCAATTATGACAAGATATACATAGAGCGTGCCATTCGTGATATTCATGTAAGTGTTCAAAATGAAGGAAATGAAGAAAGTAATCCAACTAAGATCACTTGGTCAGGTATGTTGCAATTATGGTTTTATCTGGTAAAATTTAAATAATTTCTTCTGATGTTATCGAACTCTTCGCACTTTGTAATACTACGTTTGTTTTGCATTATAATACTGAAGAATAGTGTGGGTGTTGTGAATAGGCAGGTTATCAGGAGATTATTGGTTACAAGTCATGATGTGTAAGTCCCACAGCAGAGAATATAATAATATCTACAATTTAAATATAGGTGGACCACTCCTAATTTCACCGAGGCCTTTTAAATTAAAAACTACACACCTAAAGATCTACCACGCCTTCGCTCTTCTAGGTGGTTAAGGTGGAGACAATATCATTGTATAGTTTGGACAGTTAGTGGACTCTGTACAACAATTGGTGTTGAGTTGTGCGAAAACACTCCAAGACCTTGTCGTTAATGAACTATGCGATGACACACATACAAACCTTTTTAGAATAAAGCAAACACACCACAAAGAGAGACACACAAGAGCACAAAGATTTATAGAGATTCGCCCTCGTGCCTGCGTCCTCTTGTAATACACCCAAGAATTCACTAGTATGTAAAAACAACTTTGGTTACAATCAAGAACCCCCTTATCTTTCAAAAGAATCATAGCTCTCTTTTCTCTAAGCCCAAGAAGTCTTGAATCTCGTAAAGATACAAGATTTTTAATATTTGAAGAGTAACTCAGGGACCTTCATACCATAGAAAGAATTGTAAACCGCTCTCTTCTCTGCTCTTGACAAATTCTAAGGCCCTGGAGGCAAGCGAGTATGTCTTTCTCCATACTCAGGTTGCAAATCAGTCTTGACCCCCATGTTCAATAAATCCAAACTAGCAGTAATCCCATCTTTTTTTTTCCAAGGATCTCCAACAATGTACCAATGATACTATCGCAAACATTTTTCTCGATGTGCATAACATCAAGAGCATGCCTTACAGGAAGGTATTTCCAGTACTCGAGACCAAAGAATTTTGACTTCTTCTTCCAACAAACTTTGTCACCATCATTTTCACTTCCACCTCTCCCTTTTTTCGAGCCCCATTTATAATTAATACTTTCAACCATTTGTAACACTTCTTCTCTGGTTAATGGCTTTGGAGGCGTATCATATTCAGGTTTCCCATTAAAAGCTGCACGTTGCCTCCGATATGGATGATATATTGGTAACCATTTTCTATGCCCGATGTAACATATTTTGTGGTCATTTTTCAACCTGTGACTAGGTGTATCATCACCGCATATTGGACAAGCTTTATATCCTTTTACGATACAACTAGATAAGTTTCCATAAGCGGGAAAATCATTAATTGTTCATAGTAATGTGGCTATGAGTGTAAAGTATTCTCCTATATGAGCATCATACACTCCGTTAATCACATCCCACAAATAATTTAAATCATCAATCAAAGGCTCTAAGTAGACGTCTATATCATTTCCGGGTTGTTTCGGACCGGAAGTCAATAAGGTCAACATCATGAACTTTCATTTCATGCATAGCCATGGTGGGAGATTATATGTAACTAAGATAACTGGCCAGCAACTGTATTGGTACTTAGAGAACTGTGGGGATTGAATCCATCAGATGAGAGAGCTAATCTCAAGTTTCTCGGCTCATTACCAAACTCAGGGCATTTATCATCAATGAGTTTCCAAGAGGGAGAATCAGCCGGATGAGACGTTTGACCTTCATTGCTTTTCTATCAGCATGCGAAGTCAAACTCTTAGTTGTCTTGCATGATTGAAACATCCTTTTAAATCTTGGAATTGGTGGAAAATAACACACTACCTTTGCTGGGACACCCTCTTTCAAGATTGAATCTGCCTTCCTTCCATCTTGAGATTCCACAAGTAGGACAAAGAGTTGAATGTTCATACTCCTTTCTATACAAGATGCAATCATTGGGGCATGCGTGGATTTTCATAACTCAGCCCCAATGCACACAAAGTCTTTTTTGCCTCATACATAGAGGAAGGTATTGTATTTCCTTCTGGAAGCAGTTCTCCTTGAAGTATCAACAATTCTGTAAACAGACATCACTCATTCCATGTTTTGCCTTCAAATTATATAACTTCACTAATGCCGACAACTTGGTGTACTTACTACAACCAGGGTACAAGGGTTGATCTCCATCGCCAATACATTGGCGAACTCATAAGATCGGATCCAAAATCGCCTAAATCATTATCGTCCATCTCTATTTCTTAGACACAAACTGTACCTACTATGTTCATCATCTTCTTCCACATTTCTACTAGCATTAGTAGTTGCTTGCCAAGGTTCTCCGTGAAATATCCAATTCTTATACTTTGGGTCAACTCCATTAAAGTATAAGTGGTCCCTTATAATTCCACCCCAAACAATCGAACATTCCCTACATTAACATATGACAATGAATATGTGTGTGGTTAGAAGATTTTCTATTGAAAATTTCAAAAATGCTTCCACCTAATCATATGCCTTCGATTTCTATCTGCGTGCATCCATGACTTATCCATCTCCGACAAAATACCCTATTATTTATAGTAAGGTGCATACCAGCAGACCCCTATAGCGATTTAATTACTTTGATAGACCGTAATTTCACATAAAGACGATGTTAGTTAACAAATCCAACATTTCTCTTCTCGAGACGTCGGTTGTGCAACCCGACCGTTTTGCTGACGCTATTAAACAGTTTTTTTTTTTTTTTTTTTTTTTTTTTTTTTTTTTTTTTTTTTTTTTTTTTTTTTTTTTTTTTTTTTTTTTTTTTTTTTTTTTTTTTTTTTTTTTTTTTTTTTTTTTTTTTTTTTTTTTTTTTTTTTTTTTTTTTTTTTTTTTTTTTTTTTTTTTTTTTTTTTTTTTTTTTTTTTTTTTTTTTTTTTTTTTTTTTTTTTTTTTTTTTTTTTTTTTTTTTTTTTTTTTTTTTTTTTTTTTTTTTTTTTTTTTTTTTTTTTTTTTTTTTTTTTTTTTTTTTTTTTTTTTTTTTTTTTTTTTTTTTTTTTTTTTTTTTTTTTTTTTTTTTTTTTTTTTTTTTTTTTTTTTTTTTTTTTTTTTTTTTTTTTTTTTTTTTTTTTTTTTTTTTTTTTATCCATGCCTGAAAATTTGAATTTATAGATTTCCAATTTAGAAGTGCTAACAAAAGTCAAAGGATTTTAAGACAAAGCACATAGTCCTATACTTTCCCATAAACCATAACCCTAAGGTTTATTAGTTATGGTGGTCAGAAAATTCAAAATTATTTAATATGGATATTACCTACTAATATATAGAAGGCATTGTTTTAAAGGAGTCCGTAGCATTTTCGGTTCATTTTTCTCATACTTGGTATTTTTTTATAATTATTGTAAAATTTAGGGTTAGGGTTTAGGTTTATTGAACCGACGCCGGTTTCTCTCCCTCTTGATGGTCAATTTATGTGCGTTGCGTTCGAATCCCAAGAAACACAACGCAAATCTACTTTCTTGAAGACGTTAGACGTCGGTTTTTGTATGGGCGACGTCAAAACGATTTAAATGGCGTCGGTGGTAACATAACGCTGTTGTAAGTCTGAAATACAACGCACGACTTGGGTGTATTTCCCCATATTTACTAAACGCGGTCCTTTTGAAATTTTTGACGGGACTAAAATTTTGAATTTTCCTTTAACCCTAAGTATGTCATTCTCTCTTTCAACGTAAATTTGTCTTAAAGGTTTCCCGCTCTCTCTCAAAGCATTGGGTATATTCTCTGAGCTCTCTCAAGCATTTGATTATTTTCTCTCAGCTCTCTCAAGCATTTGTATATTTTCTCTCTCTCTCAATATCCATGTACGTATATTCTCTAGCTCTCTCAATATTCTCTTAGTAGTTTGTATATATTCTCTATCTCTCTAAAATATTTGTTAGTTTGTATATACTCTCAGCTTTGGTTTCTTAATACGGGTTTCTTTTATGTTTTGGGAGCTATGGGTTCTTGATGGGAGCTATATATGGTTCTTTTATGTTTTGATGTTTGCATTCTGTTAAGGGTTCTTTGAAAAGGAATGGGATGGAAGAATTAGGGCTTTGGTTTTTGTAAACCACGACGACGGTTGGTGGACCAACCGTCGTCTAAATTTTTATTATACGTCGGCTTTTTATTTACTACCGCCGTTGACCCTAACCCTAACAAATATCTTTTTAGTTGCTTAAAGACGACGGTAAATAGACATGTGTTGTCTTAATCTATCTTACGTGGCTATTATTTTGTAAAAACCGTCGTCTGATTTTGTGGATTTTTTTAATTTTTTTCCACTTTGTTCTCTTCTCGGTCAATATAGCATTGTTTCATTGCTGGCCTTTTCATTTATCATATGCGTGATTTTATAGTGCGTGAGATGGATAAGTCATGGATGCATGCGGATAGAAGATCGAAGGCATATGAGTTAGGTGTGGAAGGATTTTTGAATTTTGCTATAGAAAATCTTGGAAATACAACTCATATTCGTTGTCCATGTGTTAAATGTGGGAATATTCAATTGTTTGGAGTTGGAATTATAAGGGACCACTTATACTTTAATGGAATTGACCAAAGCTATAAGATTTGGGACATGGTACGGAGAACCTGGGAATGGGCTACTAATGCTAGTAGAAATGTGGAAGAAGATGAGCAAAGTAGGTTCAGTTTTGTTTCTGAAGAAGTAGGGATGGAAGATAATGATTTAGGCGATATTGGATTTGATCCTTATGAGTTTGCCAATGTGATTGGGGATGGAGATCAACCCTTGTACCCTGGTAGCAGTAAGTACACGATGTTGTCGGCTTTGGTGAAGTTATATAATTTGAAAGCAAAACATGGGATGAGTGATGTTTGTTTTACAGAATTATTGATATTTCAAGGAGATTTGCTTCCGGAAGGAAATACACTACCTTCCTCTATGTACGAGGCAAAAAAGACATTGTCTGCTTTAGGGATGAGTTATGAGAAAATCCACGCATGTCCCAATGACTGCATCTTGTATAGGAAGGATTATGAAGATTCAACTAATTTCCTACTTGTGGTGTCTCAAGGTGGAAGGAAGGCAAAGATTCAATCTTGAAAGAGGGTGTGCCAACGAAGGTGGTGTAGTATTTTCCTCCAATTCCAAGGTTTAAAAGGATGTTTCAATCACATAAGACAGCTAAGAGTTTGACTTGGCATGCTGCTAGAAAATCAGTTGACGGTCAAATGTCTCATCCAGCAAATTCCCCGTCTTGGAAACTTGTTGATGATAAATGGCCCGAGTTTGGTAAAGAGCCGAGAAACTTGAGATTGGCTCTCTCATCTGATGGATTCAATCCCCACAGTTCTTTAAGTAGCAGATACAGTTGTTGGCCAGTTATCTTAGTTACATATAATCTCCCACCATGGCTATGCAGAAACGAAAGTTCATGATGTTGACCTTATTGATTTCCAGTCCTAAACAGCCTGAAAATGATATAGACGTCTACTTAGAGCCTTTGATTGATGATTTAAAATCTCTATGGGATGAGATTAGAGGAGTGTATGATGCACATATAGGAGAATACTTTACACTCAGAGGTGTATTACTGTGGACAATTAATGATTTTCCTGCCTATGGAACTTATATAGTTGTGTTGTTAAAGGATATAAAGCTTGTCCAATATGCGGCGATAATACACCTAGTCACAGGTTGAAAAATGGTCACAAAATTTGTTACATTGGGCATAGAAAATGGTTACCAATCAATCATCCATATTGGAGGCAGTGTGCAGCTTTTAATGGGAAACCTGAATATGGCACGCCTCCCGAGCCATTACCGGAGAAGAAGTGTTGCACATGGTTGAAGATATTAATTACATATGGGGCTCGAAAAAATGGGGAAGTGTTGGTGAGAATGATGGTGATAGAGTTTGTTGAAGAAGAAATCAAAATTCTTTGATCTCGAGTATTAGAAATACCTTCATGTGAGGCATGTCCTAGATTTTATGCATATTGAGAAGAATGTTTGCGATAGTATCATTGGTACATTGCTAGAGATCGCTGGAAAAAATAAAGATGGGATTGCTTCTCGATTAGATTTATTGAACATGAGGGTCAAAACTGATTTCAACCCGAGTATGGACAAAGACGTACTTGCTTGCCTCCAGGGCCTTGGAATTTGTCAAGAGTAGAGAAGAGAGCGGTTTGCAATTCTTTCTGTGGTATGAAGGTCCCTGAAGGTTATTGTTCAAATAAAAAAAAATCTTGTATCTTTAAAAGATTCAAGACTTCTTGGACTTAAATCTCATGATTGTCATACATTGATGCAACAATTGCTCCCTGTGGCAATTCGTTCTGTTTGGAAAATCCTGCAAGGTATGCAATAACTCGATTGTGCTTCTTCTTCAATTCTATATGTGCAAAGACAGTAGATGTTTCCAAGCTAGATAAGTTGGAAGAAGATGTAGTAGTTACTTTGTGTTTGCTTGAGAAGTACTTTCCCCCTTCATTCTTTGATATCATGGTTCATCTAGTAGTACATCTTGTCAGAGAAGTTCGTCTATGTGGCCAGTATATTTTAGATGGATGTATCCGTTTGAAAGGTATATGAAAGGGCTAAAAGGGTATGTTCAGAACCGTAATCGTCCAAAAGGTTGCATTGCTGAGCGGTATATAGCTGAAGAAGCTGTAGAGTTTTGCACTGAGCATTTATCTGATGTTAGTACAGTTGGAGTGCCTTCAAGCCAGAAGATGGGAGTTTCGAAGCCATTATTAGGTTGCACAATAAGCTTAGTTTATCGGGACTTGTTGAACCATGCACATCTATATGTCTTGGAGAATACGAAGGAAGTCCTACCTTATATCGAGTACGTATGACTTTTATTTTTCATATGGAGCGTCATTTTAAAATATTATTATTCCTTATGTTTATCTTATACACAAGGGACCATAATGCTTGATTTTTTTTGTGTCAATGTAGGGAACATATGATCCAAATCAAGACCACTTATCCAAAATTTAGAAAGAGAATAAAGTGGCTGCAAGATAAGCACAATAGCACTTTCATTCAATGACTACACTTTAAGGTATATATATGTTATTGAATGACATGCATATTCAACTTTTAATTTTCTTCCATTCTATATTTTGGATTGAATTCAAATATATATGATTAATTTGCATGTTCAAAGTGAACTTAATGGGGAAGAGCATAATGGCATATCAGAAAATCTGAGGTGGCTAGCAACTAGTCCAAGCATGGCAGTGCCATCATATAGGAGCTAACTTATTAATGGTGTTAAATTTAATAGCAAGGCACAAGATGATGTGCGAACTGCCCAAAATAGTGGAGTTTATTTACTTGCACATACTATGCAAGTTGCTAGTGCCAAGGATAAAAACCCTATTGTCTCCAATATGGGGTTTTTATGGTGTTATTCAAGAAATTTGGGACCTTGACTATCAAAAGTTTAGAATTCTAGTCTTGAGGTGTGATTGGATAGATAACCCTTCGGGCCTTGTAGTCGACAAACTTGGATTTACCCTTGTAGATCTGAGTAAAATTGGACATAGGAATAACCAATTTGTTATGGCTTCTCAAGTCAAACAAGTATTTTATGTTGACGACCTAATGCATCGTGGTTGGTCGGTAATGTTATCAATGCCTAATAGAGAATATAATGATGTTATTGGTGATGATGTGCTAGGTGATACTAGAATTGAGTGTGAGCCATTTACTAGAGGGATACTAAATGTTGACACATTTGATGACCTAGTGGGTGAGTTAGGGAATGAAAATATTATAGATGGGTGTGAAGATATATGGATTGATTGATTGTTGTAATGTATGACATCACTTATTTAGTTAATTGTTTGACACTAATTAATAATTATGTACATCATTTTAATTCTGATCACATATTCATTATATGCAGGCTTTGGGGATGACAAATCAAAAATTAAAAAAGTTGGGTTAAAGCTATAAAGTACGACGGTCCAGTAAAAAAAACTGGAAACACAGATGTCTAAAATAAAAACAACGTCGGGTTTTAAAAGGCAAAAGACCGTAAGCAAAAAAACAGACATCTGAAAAAAGAAATCAAGTCGGTTTGGTTAAAATAAACCGCCGTCTAAAGGTCGAAATAAAGGCCGTTCAGTTCCATTAACTGTCGTGAGAGATGTTCTTCACGTCAAATAGTCTAAAATAACTGACGTCTCCGAGCATACATACGTAAAGGCTGGTTAAACAAGCGACTTTTAAAAAGACAACCACATCATTATGTAATGAAAACCGACGTGGTAAGCAATTACAACGTCAACCAGATGGATCTCTAGACGTAGTGATATAATTAACCACGTCCATTATTTTAACTCCACGGACATTGAATACATAATCCACATCGGTTATTTTTCTATCCACGCCTTCAATACTATTTATAACGTCATCCTTTGACAAAAACCGACGTGGAGTATAGTTTGGTACGTCAATATTGAGTAATATTATGTGATTTTAAATCTTTTAAACGTTGGTTATTTAGAAAAAGTGACGTCTAACTGTGTCAAGGGGACTTCTTTGTTAAATTTAAACGACGATTCTCGCAAGTAACAGACGTGGAATATACTTACCACGTCGGTTTTTATTAAAGTTCTCGACGTGGATAATTACATAAACGTCGATGATGCCAGGTGCAGGACGTGGTTATATCATGTTTAGGCAATTATTGTGAGCCAAATGACATGCAATACTCTTTAAACGTCTGTTGGTTTGTGTAAACGCCGTAGTTTATGTTTTAGACATCAGTTTTTTTGTTTGTTTAACATAGTACAAATTAACCACGACGGTTTCTAGCTTATCCAAGTCGTTTTTCCTTCTTTTAGGGACGTGGATAATTATCTGTACGTCGGTTCTTCCTTTGATCTTGACATGTAAAACTCTTTAGACGTCTCAGTTTTCATAAAACCGTCGTCTAATGTTGTCGAAGATTTCATTTTTCCCTAATTATATAGTAATTACACGTCGGTTCGGAATAAATCTAGATGTTGAATTACTTAACGACGTCGGTTGTTAACCGTCGTTGTTGGTTGTACAAAAGATGACGGTCGATTTCACGACGGTTGGAAAACCTTCTAGACGATGGTGGTTTCCTGTCGTCTATTTCAATTTTTGTAGTTGTGTGGGAGGCAAATGACATGCAATACTCTTTAAACGTCTGTTGGTTTGTGTTATCGTTGTAGTTTATGTTTTAGATGTCGGTTTTTTTGTTTGTTTAACGTAGTACAAATTAACCATTACGGTTTCTAGCTTATCCAAGTTATTTTTCCTTCTTTTAGGGACGTGGATAATTATCTGTATGTCGGTTCTTCTTTTGATCTTGACATATAACACTCTTTAGACGTCTCAGTTTTCATAAAACCGTCGTCTAATGTTGTCGAAGATTTCATTTTAGGCTAATTATATAGTAATTACACGCCGGTTCGTAATAAATCTAGACGTTGAATTACTTAACGACGTCGGTTATTAACCGTCATTGTTGGTTGTACAAAAGATAACGGTCGATTTCACGACGTTTGGAAAACCATCTATACAACAGTGATTTCCCGTCGTCTATTTTGATTTTTGTAGTAGTTGGGGATGATGAATTCATAATGTAACCAATAAAAGACGACTATATATCCAGCTAACAGACTACAACTCAACAAAAGTGAGCAATCAAGAGCACATGTTTAACAAAAAAGAACTTGTGACCAATAAATCAGTAACACCGAGGGCATCTGAGGGCTGGAAAACTCAATCTAGGTACTACAAATTTCAAGTTTCCAATCTCACAATGGAACTTCAAATAGTATTGTGCTTTATAAGAGATATAGGTGCAACAAATTGTACTAGTAGAGAGATATGCAACAGTTCGCACTATATTTGTAACACTTGAAAGAAAGAAGACAATTAAAAAAAACGAAACATGGAAAAACAAGAATCAATAACACGTACAAATTAATAATTTCCACTCAAATAGATATCAGCAGAGAAGTTTTTTTGCAACTAATCCCAGAGTTCCATGCTTCTTAAATTAAACATTTTATTGTCAAAAATGTCAAAAATGAAAAAATTATGACCTAATTTTCACAAAAATTGAATAAAACAGGAAGTATATAAAGAAAGAGAAGATGAAGACAAAAGAACAGTAAACAATAGTAGACTTACTTTGAATATGTCTGAGCTTTTCCAGAATTCCTCTTAGCCATATTGCTTGACAAGCACAAGAAGCTGCTGCAATGAATTCAGCTTCGGTTGTGGATAAAGTCACCACTGGCTGCTTCCTTGAAGATCCCGACATAGTCCCTGAACTCATTTTAAAAACATAACCTGATGTGCTCTTCCTATCCTCTAAATCCCCGGCATACTCGCTGTCCGTGTAGGCTGTTAGTTCCTCATCTTCTCCATTTTTGTAGAACACACCATAGTATGTTGTACCTTTCAAATACCTTAAGACTCTTTTAGCAGCCTACAAGTGAAGCTCAGTAGGATTTGCCATGTACCCACTGATAAGACTCACTACAAACATCTGGCTGTGTAGCAGTTAAGTACATATTAAACTTCCCACCTTTAATTTTTTGGTAGAGAGTAAAATGAAAGCTTAGATGTTAACACATTTGAAGCTTTCTGGAAAAGAGAATAAGCTTTAACTCTCGCTCTCCCCTCCCATCTCTTCTTCTCTTTCTCTTCCTATATTTTCTTCTTATCCTCTCTGCATCTCTAGGTTTGATTAGTGAACTCATGTTAATGGTGGTTCGATGGTTGTGGTTGTGGTGGTTGCACTACAAAAAAAAAGGTTCATTACCGACCAACTTTTTTCCGAGGGCCCCCAAATTTCCTCGGCAAAAGTGTTTTTTTCAACGAAAAAATGTTGCCTGTTGGAAATATGTCATGAGGCTGGAATTTATTTCTGACAAAGAAATGGCCGTCGAAAAAAGTCTCTATGGTCGTCAAAAATGCAATTTATTTGGCAGGAAAACTTGGCACCAACTTTATTAACGACAAAAAATTTGTTTGTCGGAAATAAGATGATTATTTTAGAGGAGAAATATGTCCGCTCGGTAATGCCGTTATATTTACAACCAAACTGATCCTTGTCGGTAAAGGTTGTGCTTGTTTCCAAGGGCATATTCACAGTTGTCAGAAATCACAACCTAGTTCCGAGGGCAACATTTGGTCACTGGTAATAATTTTTCTATTTACAAGGGGAATTAGCGGTCATTAGAAATGACTATCTTAAAATATTCATAACAAATTAAATTTAAAAAAAATACTGAAAAAAGCTACGCATTCCTTACAACAAATCCATCGATTCACCAATCAATTCGGAAGCAAGAGTAAGGGCACACTCAGTGGCGGACCCAGGAATTTCTTAGGAGATGTGCAATTTTCAAAAAGCTAAGAGCTATAAAAAAATAAAAAATAAAAAATAAAAATAAAAACAACTGAACATCCTTATAATTTAAACAATATACATGTAAAATCATAATCATAATCAGCAACAAGGGACAGGGAGTATAATCTATAAACAGACACCAACTTGCTTTTTTTTTCTTTTCTATTTGTATGTTCCCCGGTAAAGTGAATAGGTACAACTATATCAAGCTTCTAACTAGTTTTTTGCTGCTTTGACATGTTCAAAAGTAGGATTGCCTACTATCAGCCGTTTACCCTATATTAGTCCTTCAACCCATGACATAATGTCATAATTGCAGCATAACTTCAGAATAATAATCAAGTAGAAACTTCCAGTTCCACAAGCTAACAATGACAGCCAAAGGAAAAATTACACAGACCAAAATTCACTAATTGGAGCAAAATCAAACATACCAGCTGGAAAAGAGAAAAAAAAACAATCTTCTAACCAAAGTTTCATAGTAGCATTTCCTAATGAACACTGCTTAGAGAAGAACCCAATTAGACCAACTAAAAGTTGAATGTAATTTACGTCATTGAGGAAGAAATGCGGCATACCCAGATGGAATTTCGCCTCTTTGGGCAAGGACTTTGAGCTTTTGTAGAGCCCAATTGAGTACAAGTTTTGTGTGCATTTTGAGAGTGAAGCAAAGGGGTTTAGAGGTTGGCTTAACGAAAGTTGAAGGAAAAGAAGAGGAGGTCTTGCAGTTTTTTATGCACAGCAACTGTAGCGCAGTGCCCAGGTGGTTTGGGCATTTCGTCGAACACATTGCGTGCGTCTCTGGTTTGAAGCAGAGGTGCAACTCCAGCTGCTCTAATGGACTTTTCCCGCGACCGGAGGTGCAAGTGCACCTCCTTGCGCTTGCACAGGTTCACCACTGGGCACACTGCCTTAACCAACTGGCATAACCCAACAAAAATTTTAACACTAAAACTTATGCTTATTGGATGGATCTAATTTTTAGTTCCAATCTTTTTTAGAGTCACCATTATTTATCATGGCTACAATACTACTACATTTTTATATGCCTAAGCCCTAATGTCGTATATCTTCCACACGTATGCCATGTGATCAACGTGATGATTATTAACATTGTAGAAGAGATAATTACTAATTATAATATGGTGATTGATGGGGAAGTAGGAATTTATGAGTTATAGTACAAAATGAAGATGGTTTTATTGTTGGAAGTATGATACAGATTTTTTGTTCTTGAGATTGGTGAAATTTAGTGAATTGGATGAACTATAAGGAAGATTTTTCGAGATTTGCTGTGTAATTGATATTAGGATTGAAATTGGAAGAGGAAAGCATGGAATTTGGCTGGGAATTCACTGAATTCGCACCAGGCACCTGTTCGCAAAGTATAATGCAGTTTTTGGGGCAGGTTTATAATTTCTTGAAGTGTAAGCATCAAAAGCTTGGGGACATATTTCTAATTTTAAAAAATGTTGAGACATTAAGGTAAGTTTGGTAAAGCAAACATTCTTAAGAGCAAGTGCAACGCTACAGGCTTGCCATGGCAACAGGCCCCTCAAGGCCCCAATTCCACTTCCAGCCCAAAAAGGCTAGCCCGGGCAAGCCATGGGACCCACCAACCCGGGTAAGCCCACAGGCAAAAATGAACTGGGATGTTGCCCTCAGGTTGTTGACGTCAGCGCCTAAAAAAAATTGAAAAAAAAATATCAAAAAATTATGGAAATTTTTTCTATAAATACTTACCAAAATTATTCACTTTCCACACCAAATCTTCGTACAAATTCATCTCCTTCCAATATTTTTCACTTTTCATTCCAAATTTTCTACTACAAAATTTCATTTGAAAATTTTAATTTAATAAATATGTACACGTGACAACCGAAAATCTTATCCGAAAATTTTATTTGAAAATTTTATCCGAAATATTATATGAAATTTTAAGTGAGAATTTTATAATAAATAGTGACATGTGGCAACCGAAAATATTATCTGAAAAGCTACCAAAATTAATAATTAAGTATAAAAAAATAGAAAATAAAGTAAAGTAAATAGTGTTTGTCTTTGCCATTACCCTTTAGGGTGGAACCAAAAAAGCCAAGGCTGACACTATTCATATAAATAGTGTCAAACATTGCCTTACCTTTTGAGATGGAGGTGCTCTAATGTAGTTGGAATAGAGTTAAAGCGGAACATAGGGAAACGTAGATATAAAGAAATTGGATACACTACAAAAAAAAGTGGGCAATTGTAAGTTCCAATGCACTTGTAAGTTCACAATAAAATATTACAACTCATAATAATAACTCCCACCTATAGTTGTCAACATTTCCGGTGTGCTTTTATATTAAACAATTCAAATTAAAGTTTTTATTTTATTTTAAAAAGACTAAAGCTTTTAAAATGCACAGAGAAACCAAAACCAAGGCCAATTACCACCTAGTTTTCAACATTACTAATGTTGTTTTGTATTAAAAATTCAAATTTGAGTTTTTATTTGGGCTGTGTTAAAGAAACTAAAGCTTTTAATCCAGGCCGAAGTAGCAAAAAGAAAACACAAGTTGGTTTTTATCTTCTTCTTGGTAGCTCTTCTTCTGTGTTTTAATGGCTTTCTTACACTGCCCATTCTTGCAATAAGGCTTAAGGTCTGTCTGGGTTTCTTCTTCGACTTATTTTTAATCCTTAAATAAAAATTTCAGTTTTTGATGTAAGTTGTAGTGTTTGTTTAACTTTTTAAAGGTTCTATCATCAGGATTCAGATCTGTCTCAGATGATGAAGATGACGAGGACAAAGAACAAACGCTCAAGATATAATTAATTTTTACCAGTTGGAGTTTGATTTTTGTACTTTCTATTTTGATTTTTAGGTTTGAATTATGGGCTGCCATTTTTTTTTAAAAAGATTTTTCGTTTGTTAATCAAGTTATGGATTATACTTGTGTTTGCCTTGGATTATGCTTTGGTTTTTCTTTTTTAGATGATGGTGATGATGAAGATGATGAGGATGATGAACTTATACATTAGTTTTAATTTGTCACTTAAACAAAAAATTTAAGGGAAATGTCACTTGAATTTTTTAAAATTTATAATTTGTCATCTGACTTTAACATCATTCAATTTTTCATCCATAATTAAGGGTATTTTAATCTTTTTATTTTTCATTATACAAGCCTTTCCTACCAAACATTAAAAAATTAAAAAATGTATTTTTTTTCCATCCCCTGTCGTCTCTCTATTCTCCCTCCCTCCCCAACCACACCTCCCCTCTCCTTTGTTTATTTTCTCCCTCCAAGACCTGCGCATAGAAGGGATGGGCTGCCATATCTGCCAAACTGCAATCAAAACCACATTGACAGAAAAATGAATCAGTGATTCTTGTAAATTCTTTTGCAAACTAAATGAAATAAGAAACGGCAAAGGAGATTTAAAAGGTAAAGCAATCAATGTGCTGGATCACCTTGATGGAGCAGTGACATAGTAGGCAAGACCACCAACTGGATCACCTAAATGAAATATTTAGACTCCTGCCACTTCCCCAACAAATTCACGAAGAAATTCCCACCATACTCCTGTAACTATATAGAGAAATAGAGGAGAGGGGAGGTGTTTTGTTTTTTTTTGGTCTGGGGAGGTGTGGTTTTGATTGCAGCTTCGCAGATATGGCAGCCCATCCCTTCCATGCTCAGGTCTTGGGGGGAGAAAAAAAAACAGAGGAGAGGGGAGGTGTGGTTGGGGAGGGAGGGAGAATAGAGAGAGACGACAGGGGGGATGGAAAAAAAATGCATTTTTAAATCTTTTAATGTTTGGTAGGAAAGGCTTGTATATTTTTTTTTTTTTTTTTTTTTTTTTTTTTTTTAAATTTTAAAACACTCTAAAAATGACTAAAATACCCTTAATTACGGATGGAAAATTGGATGATGTTAAAGTTAAATGACAAATTATAGATTTTGAAAAGTTCAGGTGACATTTCTTTTAAAAAAAAATTTCATGTGACAAATTAAAATTAAGGTATAAGTTCAGGTGACATTTCAACAAATATCCCCTTCATATATCATCAACCCAAAATTCATACCTGCAGCGTTACTATTGGGCTTTACTCACCAACAAAGGTGACTGTTGCTGCCAACAGTCACAAAAAAAAATGGTAACTATTGCTGACTTTTTTTTGTAGTGATAGAATTTAGTTACTTATGTACGGGACAAATGGTAACACTTTTTATTGTTGTGCTAGGGACTCCAGTTATCGTGATACTTATGATTAACCATATGGCGTTAGTGAGGTATATCTTACACTTGCATTGAAATCGAGGTAGGTAGTATATTGAAAAGAATCTTTTATACAGTCGAGTCACTCAAAAAATAAGCTCGTAATAATTTATTCACTCAAAAAAGATACTCAAACATTACAGAAACTTGGATGATACAATAATTCTTAATAAAATCAAAGTCTGAGTAGAACAATATAAACTGAGATCCATGAAATAGAAAGTAAATTTCAATATTTATTTACAAGGAGGCATATAAGCAGGTGCTGGGAGCATGCTGGTCTCAGCGGTGTTTCCATCTGTCACAATGAGTACAGTGGCCATTCCCCAGCTGGCGTGCCTTTCCAAATGACAGTGCATAAACCATACTCCTGAAAATAATCATCAAATAATTCATTTAAATAGCTAGTTAACCTGGCTCCATGGTTGCTCTATCTTAATTAATTTGCCTAATTACATACATTGTACACATGGCATGTGAGATGTACATTATTATTATTATTTGTCGGAGTTTGGAAAGGAGAGGAGAGTGGTGTCATTGAAATTCGAACATAACACCACTTATCTGGAAAAAAAAGCTCTTACCAGTGAGCTATGAACCCAATGCCATGACAAGTACAGTAATTAGGTGGCTATAGAAGTAGAACTTACCAGGATTATCAGCCTTAAATCTGACGGTTGCCCATCCATTCTTTGGTACACCAATGGTGTTTACTTCAGGTGGATCAACCAAATTGTAGGTCTTAGGGGCCTGATTAGGGTCCCAATTCCCAGAACCAGTTCCAACCAAATAGAAGCTGAAACCATGGAGATGCATCGGATGGTTCTCAGCGGCAATCATGTTGGTCCCTTGATAGATTATCTCAACTTCTTCACCATATTTAATCATCCTCACCTTCGTTCCAAAGTTAGGATATATTGTGTCGTTTCGCACATGTCCCGTGAAGTTGAAAATATAAGGTTTGTGTGGGAAATTAGCTGAATAAACTCCCTTAATTGACCTGTACATAGGCAATAAGGTCATTTAAGTTAGATATTTTTAATTAAAAAACAAAAAACAAAGTTCTAGTTTTGCAAAAAAGAACAAGTAATAAGACGTGGATTAGAGAAGCCAGAGCCCCTCTTGCATTTGAGTCCAGAGAGTATATTAATTTAAACTATTATTTATATTTAAAAACAAGTAAAACGCACGCTTTTGGCTCAGTTACCATTTTACTCTTCTACGCGACTATTCATTTCCTTTCAGTGAAGTAGAAATATGGGATGGGATGGGCTGAGTTGGACTGGGGTGAGGTGTTTAGTTGGGAAACGTTATCTTCATAGAAATTATTAACCAATTAATTTGACAGCTTAAAATACCGACATTAACCAATTAATTTGAGCTACTAATTTAAATTACGTTACGTACCCGTAATAGGCTTGCAGTATATCAATCGATGGAGTCACAAAACTGATGTTGTTTAAGCTTGCAGCAAGTGCATTATTATCTGGCCCATCACAAGAAGAATTGGGACAAATTCTTTCATTTACGGAAACAGAGATGAAGAGCGTGTGTGTGATGTGTAACGGGACACTAATGGGGTAGTCTTTGCTTGCCAAGGCCCTCACTTGCGTAGTGAAGTTTGAGGCAGCCGTTCCGTCGGCGAAATCAGGAAGAATCGGAGTGGGAATGGTTGAGGGGGTGGTGCTGCCGTTGTATTGAAGAATGGCAGAGGTGGTGCCGTTGTTGAATGCAACATCCCCATCAACAAAAGCATGGGAAGCTACGTGATAGGAGCTGGGAGACTGGTTTGCAACTACCAAAATGTCCATGGTTTGGCCTGGAGTTATCATGAGGTAGGAGGTGGTTATAGGTTTTATGTATGCACCATCTTGAGCTACCACTGTGAGGTTGTGGTTGGCAATGGCGAAGAACATTTCTTCGTTCAACACCGCGTTGATTAAGCGGAGAAGATACGTCTTGCCATAATTAACCACCCAACGGTATGTTGTTGCTGCAACAGGAAATCATTCAGTTAGCAAATTAATGATGTCAAAGTATGTTACTTGTTAGAAATAAACAGTGTTCATAGTGAATCAATTATGAATAAATCAAACACTATAGTAGAGTAATGTTTGAATGAAATAATAATGTCTTTTGTAAATAATTGTAGTTGATAAATCTTCCACAAATAATTTTATTTGAGAATATCTTTTAGAGTCTCCTACGAATTTTATTTCAATGATCCGAACAGTCTATACATACCTAATTGCTAAACTATAGTCAAATATAATATTGCCTTTCATTATTCAGGATGACCCACCTTTATTCCATAACTAAGATTTTAAATCTTACTTTACAACTCACCATAATGTCAGTTAAAAGTTCTATTAAAAATGTTGACATGATTTCCTCATTAAAAGAAAAGTTGATATGACATGAGCGTACTCATGAAATGTACACATGAGTGCCATGTGTATTAAAAAAATAATAAAATATTTCATTTTTAAAAAGTTTAATTTAAGACCCAGCCCTAGCCCCACCGACTTCCCTCACCGCTACCCTGTTACCAGCCCCATGTGCCCCCCGCCCCCACTGCGATATCCAAAGCAATCCCTCCAACTGATAACATCCCCAGAGCACTATTAAAATCTTGTCCTACTTAACTTGTTTAATATAGGTGTTATATTTTAATCCTTTAATAAAAGAGATTCAAAGAGGGTGGACTTACTATCCTACTTAACTAGTTTTAATACATATCGGTGTTATATATTAATCTTTACTAAATGAGATTCAAATTTGAAAAATCTAACATCGAGAAAAAGAAATACCACTAAACAGCTATTTTCAACTTGCTGACACTCTTGGCATACACCACAAGTCAAAAAAGTATACTGCTTTGCATGATATTTCCATAGACACCTAGAAGTTTCTTCATTTACGCGGAAATGTTACCGTTATCCTTTATGTTTAACCCTACTCAGAAAAACACTCAATTGCTTTTCTCGCGTCCGCATATAATAACAAAAGACAATCAAATGAGATTAGGTTTGGATATTTGATTATAATTACCATTGGAACACTTATTAACCAAATCTCCTGGCTCTCCGTTGATTGTGAAGGCATCTGAAACGTTTGGATCGCCGCCTGTTGCGAGGGCAATTTCAATAATTTCATTCACGTCTCCCTTGTACCAGGATCCTGCCAGCGAACCAGATGACAATGGAAAATAATTATTGAGATTCGATGATGCAGCTGTACGATGTAACACTCTTTGTTTACATGTCTCTGGTTGTGTTATGGGTTGGCCAGCAGTCCAAGTAAATTGTTAATAACTAATACATATAAATTTTTATTAAAATAAAAGTACCTAGAACAAGTGTTTCTTCTCCATCTGGTGTTGTAAAAGGATAAGCGGTGTTGAGAGCTGGTAGAATAATGATGGCACCATAGACTGTGGCACGTGTCCAATCGCTATGAGCATGCCACCATAATGTTCCTTCTTCAGTGGAGAAGATAACCTCATAAGTGAAGTTTGAGCCTGCTTGAATAGGGCACTGTGTTACGTTCTCTGGTCCATCAGACCACGGATTTCGTGGTTGCTTCACTCCATGCCTGTAAATATTAAACAAGATTAAAAAGTTTGTCTGCTACCTTGATTTTCCTTTTCTTCTCACGGTGGAAAATTAACGGAGTTCAGCTTATTTGAAAAAAAAAGCTTCATTTCCTGATTAGAAGTTCCATGTTCATACCCCTAAATGTGGGAAAACCCCCCTCTTTAAACAAGATTAAAAGTTTATCTGCTAGCTTGATTTTCCTTTTCTTCTTAATTGAAGCAGTCGAAATAAAATCGAAGGTTTTCTTTTTTGTGTTTATTAAAGAAAAAGACTAAAGGCTAAGCATGCCCATTCAAACATTAAGATTGGCTTGACTTTTAGATTACTGATCTCATGTTTGAAAACCCTCCAAACTATCATTTACATTTAAAAAAAAAAACACACATACACATTAGAAATACCCAGCGTTAAGGAAAAGAGTTGCTTTTTACAAGACATACATACATATATTAGACAAGGAAAAACAGTTCCCTACCCCACTCCTTCCTCTAGCCTTTTATTTTTCTAATCTTTATAAAGTTATTCACACTTTCACTCTCTCTCTAAAAGACAAGGACCAGCTCAGAGTCATGGATCTCACTACCCGTAAGTAAGCTATTGGAATTGGCCAGAGAGCCCATCATAAGATGGAGAAGAGAATATTCCAAGTGGAGACTTTGTCAATCCATTCAAACACACAACAAACAATCCATAATTTTCCACCAATAAGCTTAATTATCTATCCAGCTTATCTACAAACGCTTGTTATAAGCAGTTTTGGACTATTCGTCAATGCCCAAAAAAACAAAAAACAAAAACAAAAAAAGGAAGATCTAGAGCTAAGCTAATGGGATTGGTAGTTTTTACCAATGAAGGGTGACACCGTATGAGCCTTGGTTGTAGACATTCACAAAAGCAGTGTCTCCCTTCTGGACGGTGATGGTCGGCCCCGGCAAAGTCCCATTCACAGTTAAGATGGTCTTTGTTTCGCAAAGCCTTGTAAAATTCAATTCTGTCAGCTGCAAAACATCACAAAACAAAACAAAAAAATGATGACAAAATCGAGCCGAAGCAACGGATGATGATGAACATGCAAAGGCTGTAAAAATGGTGTTAATGTAATGCAGGAAGCACTTACAACAAAATCATAATAATAGGTATTTCCATTAGCCTTGCAAAGACCCAAGAACATAAACCCTACACAGGCTAAGACCCAACTCATTTTCTTAAACTCCATTTTCTAGTGTGTTCTTCAGGTTGCCCTTGAAGTGTTGTGCGGTTTTCGGTCTCAGGTAAAGACCTATTTATAGACAGACTTCATGGCAAGTTACTTCTATTATTAGTTGCTAGTTTTCCTCCCACATGTTTGAAATTTACCTGCCAAATTACGCAAAGTTAAAAATAAAGTAAATAAAAACACACACGCGGAAATCGAAAAGCATGGGAAAGTTTGTCCAGTGCACACAACAAATAAGTTCAGACACCAGTACCGTGTATTAGATAAACTTCATTACTAGACAAAGGAACTTGACCCAAAAAAAGAACTTCATTACTAGACAGAGGACAAAATTCGTTCATGTCAAAACCACGACAGGAGAACGTCGACTTTCCCTTAGGTCTAGTCTAGTCTAGTAGTAGTCACATATCCTGTCATCAACTGGGTTTTTGTCGGTAAGTACTGTTCTAGCCACAGTGATCCGTCCCTCGATTACAGTAAGAATAATAAAGTAACCGTCAAACTAGACAGACTAGATTTTTATTTTGTTTTGGGTGGATTGATATTACTACAACTTCCTTTACTTGTATCCCAGAGGTTTGATCCATTTTGTATTCTACACACATCATACGAGGTCATCTCCAAGTGAGGGCTATATCCTCAAATATATCCAAATTTCCTAAAAATAATCTCCAAAAGTGGGCTCAACGGGCTGAATACTTGTATGGGGTCCAGTTGACGTCACCTAGTCATTAGGCGACATCAACTAGTTTATTTTTTTTTAATTTGAAAAAAATGATTTTTTTCAATTTCATTCTTTTACATAATTTCTCACAATCTCTTCATTCTTTTACAAATTATCCTTTGTCTTTTTCCATTTAAATTAATTTTTTAGTTGTTTTTAGAACAAGAAAAAAATCTAATCATAAATCTATATGGCTAATCACGTGGATGTTAAAAATCATATCCCAAAGTATTTTTCTCTTCTAAAATGTATTTTAAATAGAATATAAATAGTAGTTTAATTAAATTAACTAATAAATTTACATCATATACTAAAAATTACTAAAATATTAAATTTAGCCATTTGCTGTTGGAGACAGTTAAAATGTAGCATGATACTATTCTTTATAAAATCAATTTTTACATGACTAAATGTAGTCCGTGGCTAAATATAGTCTGGCACTAAATATAGCCCTCCCAACCTAAAAATGGCCTTAGTGGTCTCAATTCAAATATTCGTGATATTTTAGCGGAAGTTTGATTTATTTTGTACAATACACACATCATACAAATTTTAAAAAGATTACATAGGAATAGTCTTAGATTCGAATAATGATTGCACTTTGAAAATATGTTAAGAGCAAAGCTCCTTCTTAATTCATGTCAACACGCCATCTCACTATTCCACCCCTCTAATATGCTTGTCAGCCATCTTTTATCTTGACTTTCCGTTTTTCCTATCCTTATCTCTCTCTTTCGGTTCTCTCTCTCTCCTGCATTACATTTTGGATTTAATGGTTGATTAGCGTTTACTTTTATTATAATAAAGTTATGCTTAACTTGCATGTAACAAAAGATAAAAGACGATCGCGTATAACATTTCTTGAATAAACTATAAAAATGTTATTATGGTAACACTGATGACACGTGATTAAAAAAAATCCAAAAAAAAAAAGGTGGTGTTATTTCCATCCTTTTATCTTATTTTTCCACTCACTTTATCTTTTTACCCACTATAGAAATTTGAAGAAACATAATCCTATCTTCCCACTCACCATTATTTCTAAAATACTATTTAATTATTAATTTAAACAATTAAAAAATAAAAAATTGAAAAGAAAAGAAACATCAACCACCGGCCACCACCCCTCCCTATTCCTCTTTGTTTCTCTTCTTTTCTCTCTCCCTCTTTCTCTAGAAAACAAGGAATATATAAGTTGATTGTGAATCTACCATAAGTTGACTGGGGTTTAGATGGACCTGCGATCCATATCTCACCAGCAAGTCTACAAATCTCATCCGCTCATATAATTAATGGATTCGTGGTGGGAGGCGTCCACCAGGAGAGTTAGTGCTGGGGTCGTGATGGGTAGTGGTTTCTGTCTAATCTTTTATTTTTTTCATTTTTTTATTCTTTTAATTTTGAGGAAGATGGAGATGACGCATATGAAAAGATTGAAGGATTGAGATTAAGATTACGTTGTTGATGTTAGGGAAGAAAAGGGAAAAATTTGAAAACGAACAACAGATGTTAAATAAGATTGTTCTTTGTACATGAAAGAGAGATGGAGGAAGGAATAGAAACAAAGAGGGAGGCGGCAACGGCAACCATGAAGGGGAATTTGCCATCAGGGTTGGGGTGGGAGGGTTCTTGTTTTTTCTTTTCGTTTTAAAAATTTTATTCTAAAGGGTAATTGCCATAAGTTGATGAATGGTGTGTTCATCGCATTGTTCCTTGATGTTGTAGTTGTGCAGGTTTGCACATGCGATTGTTTTCTCCTATCTTGCAAGTTTCCTGAGCTGTTTTTTTTTTTTTTTTTTTTTTTTTTTTTTTTTTTTTTTTTTTTTTTTTTTAATAAATATATGTGTTGTGAAAAAATAAATTTACTCTAAAACCTAAATTTACTTTTTACAAAATGATAAATTTGTTTTTTAAAATTTTGAAAATAAAGTGGGTGGGAAAATAGGGCAGGTGGGTGGAAATAACAGCAACTAAAAAAAAACCTCACCCAACACGAAAAAACACTAAGGGGGGTGCATTCAATTGTAATTTTAATGGATTCTTTTGAAGCTTAAAAGTACAGCGGTATTTAATTAGGATTTTTAAATAATCAATAAAAATCTGGTGGTATTCAATTAGGATTTTAAAATAATCAGTGTAAGTCTGGTATTATTCAATTAGGACTTTTCAAAGATAAGAAAAAGTAATATGGTATTCAAAAACTTATTGATTTTGAGGTATTTCGTTAAATGATGTATTGTGTGAGATTTTTGAGTGTGTGATATAAATACCAAATCACATAACAAATCTCATCTTCCTATGCATGATTCTCATACCTTTTTTTTCTCACTATTCGACTTTACAAAAAAAAAACCAAAACTTTTCATAAGAGAGACGATAAAGAAACATTAACAAGAAAGACGATATTGCCTCTTCTGGAACTAATGGACATTTTTCAATAGCTCTTCTTTCCTTGTAGACAAGCTTATTTGGAGCAAAATTATATTTTCGATACTTTTTTTTTAGTTTTTTAAAGAATCTCCTACTCATTGTAGACATTTCCTTGCAAGGAGTTGTAGCCCTCCACAACTCTGCCGGTGTACCTATAGCGCACATGGCTAAACATTTTTTCTAATTCCCTGTCCCAAAATGTTTGGGACCAGGACAAAACAAAAACAAAACCAAAAAGAAGCCTTACCCAGAATCTAGAAGAAATGTTGATAAGGTGCAATGTGTTTTTTTTCACTCCACAGTTTTGGTCCAAACTTTGACAAAAACTAGGAGCAGTCGTGGGGTTGGGCTAGGAGTTTTCGGTATATTTCTTTATTTTGCATTTCTGGTGCTATCTGTTTTGCATTAGGTGTTGGTGGTTTTGGATGTAGCTTCTAGCCTTTGCTTAAGCTTTTGTATTTCTTTGGTTTCTCAGTTGTGTTGTGTTTTTTGATGTATTCTTTCTGGCCATGTGTGGCTATGTTGGGGGTTACATTGTTGATGTCGATGTACTCTCCTTAGACTAACCTTTGATGGTTACTGTGCCTTCATCTTTGTATTAACCCTGAAAATTGGGTATATTCCTTCAGGTTATGAATTTAGGTGAATGATGATGGGAGATGGAGTTCAAGCTTGTATAGAAATATAAGTAAAATAATGTAATTGCAATCTATTAAAATCATAAGTAAAATCCTAAGTGAATTAAAATCATAAGTAAAATCATGTAATTGCAATCTATTAAAATCATGAGTAAAATCATATAATTACAAATCCGATTGAAATCCATTACATTAAAATCATGTAATTACAATATATTAAAATTTCAATTGAATACACCCCCTAAATATTCAAATTCCTTGACAAGTCAACTCCTATATCTGCTTTGAAATATTCTATGCTTCTATGTTCTAGCAGCAACCTTTTTTTCCATGAAGCTCGAGTTTACAAGGGAAACTTTTTTAATATTATCCTAAAACCAAACAAAAGGCTCCAAATTAGACAAATCAAGCAAACCTCGCAAGTTGAAAGGGTTTAAGGTGGCTTCAGAAGAAACATGTTAGGAATCCGTTAGACCTTATAAGTAGTGTCGCATACTAATTAAGAACCATAATAAGATGTGTCAGACTCTTAATTAATATCTAAAAATCCAAATTTGATTTGCTTTCTCTCAGCCGCCTTGACAAATTTCTCAAGGGCTAGATACAATCTCAAGGAAGCGTGTGGCCCTCGAGTTTTGACAATTCCTCCAAATACAGATTTTGATTTGAGATCTTCCACCACGCACTTCTAGCGTGCCTAATTTTTATTCCCACGCCTAATGTCAGTCCCATTGGATTCTGTGCGGCCTTGGTTTAATTTAAGGTTTTCTTTGTTCTGGGATTCCTTTACGGAACTTATATATATTTTTATATGCCTCGTGTATTCTTTCATAGTTGTGTTGTGTGATCAAAGTGATGAGTAAAAAGAAAAGTTTCTAATTATAATATTGTACATTATTTTAAAGGAGGAATCGAACTCCATTATTTCAAGATCAATCATGCTACATCTTTTATTAAAGTATGCAATGTGATGAACGTGTGACATAAGTTTTTCTTTCTTTATTTTTATTTTGGGCACAACCAGACAGATCATCTCACCATTCATGGATTCTGTCCTGGTGGGTCCCATGCTTTCAATAGCAAACACATTTTGTTTGACGTTTCAAATTCAAAACAATCTCCTTTGATGGCTATAGATACATAGATGATGGCCCTCTGCTACTAGCTAGATAATTGCTCCTTAAAGTATCGACCCACCAATTGTACGA